TGGGATTACAGGCATGAGCCATCGTGCCTGGCTCTGTCACCCAGGCTGGAGTGTATTGGTGTGACCTCAGCTCACTGCAACCTTTGCTTCCTGGGCTCTAGCAATCCTCCTACCTCAGCCTCCTGAGTAGCTGGGACTGTAAGTGCATGCCACCATGCCCAGCTAATTTTTGTATTTTTAGTAGAGACGGGGTTTTGCCATATTGCCCAGGCTAGTCTTAAACTCCTGACCTCAAGTAATCCTCTCACCTTGCCCTCCCAAAGTGCTGGGATTACAGGCATACGCCACCACGCCTGAGTTTTTTATTTTTTGTTGAGATGGGGTTTTGCCTCGTGCGCTCAAGTGTACTGCCCGTCTTGGCCCCCCAAAGTGCTGGGATTACAGGCATGAGCCACCCTACACCCAGCCTGAACCTCCTTAAGTAGTTCTCACAATCACATCAGTTCGACATCTTAGACAAATCTCTTCATCTATATTTCCTGGTGTTTCTGTTTCTATGCTTGAACCCCGACTGAATCGGGGGAATACATTGATTCAGGTGTTCAACTGGTTCAGCTCTAAGGCAGGTCCTTAGAGCTCAGGAGCTCCAAAGCCCATCAGTCTTGGGTCCTCCCTGTGGGACCTGCTCACAGGCCAGTTTTCCTAACTGCTCTGGAGCTATCAGTGGCTGGAGGACAGACTTTTCCCAAGTCAGTGCCAACAGCAAGAAACTGCAGTTACCTGCCCGTCCATGGGACAAACAGAACAAAGGAAAACCTAGAATCAGACCGAAAAACCAGATCCTCTGCATCAGTAGAGGATCCTTTGATAAGTGAGGATCTTGGAACTGGGGCACTCTGGGAACAAAAGTGGTGATGGGCCTCTGTGGGTGTTAACCCCCCACTCTCCTATCAGGATAGGGTTATTGCTCCCAGGAGTGGCATTCAGGTCTCTGCATCCAGGTTGGGAACTCTGCTTGAGTAGCGTCCACTTCCAGTTGGGTAAAAAGGCATGTGGAGGCCAGGTGCGGTGGCTCACGCCTGTAATCCCAGCACTTTGGGAGGCTGAGGTGGGTGGATCACCTAAGGTCAGGAGTTCGAGACCAACCTGACCAACATGGAGAAACCCCATTTCCACTAAAAATACAAAAAGTTAGCCAGCCATGGTGACGCATACCTGTAATCCTAGCTACTCAGGAGGCTGAGGCAGAAGAATTGCTTGAACCTGGGAGGCAGAGGTTGCAGTTAGCCGAGACTGTGCCACTGCACTCCACTCCAGCCTGGGCAACAAGAGCAAAACTCCATCTAAAAAAAAAAGAGGCATGTGGAAGCTGTGTTTCCATCTGGGGCAGAGCTGGATTTCATGATACCCAGACTGTCCAGCCCAGGCCTTGGCTGGTTTCCAGGGGACTCTGAGGCCATGTCCAAGAGGACAGTGATGGTCCTCAGTGTGACAGGGTAGCTGGGAAGTGGGAAGAATCCAGGGAAGGGAGACAGCGTCTGGCTGGCCCGAGGGGTCTCCCATGTTGAACAGGGCAAATTCCCTGCGCAGAGCAGCCAGCCACACCTGTCACAGCTCTTCGGGCTGTGGCCCATCCACTTTACCCTGGGCAGCTGGGGCTACAGAGCTGGTTAGTGCCATCTGGGACTGTCGCTGGGACTATACTCATGGGGGTGCGGAGGCTGGAGACAGCAGGCCTCAGCCTCAGAAAGAACTGTTACTCTTTTGCTAATTACCAACAGTGATCCACTGACCCCAGTTCAGGCCTCAGTTTCCCCATCCATACAACAAGGGGACTGGATGATCATTCATTTGGCTTCCAGCTAGAACTTGTAATAATGGTGATGATGGTGACGATGATGGTGATGACATTTGCCAAAAACTCACCATGTGCCAGACTTGATGCAAAAATTATTAAATTTGACTGGCTCCCTTAATCTGCACAATATCCCAATATTCCCATGTGGCAGGCTCGATTGTTAACCCCATTTTCATAGTTGAGGGCATGCGAGCCGTGCGCAGTTGGAAAGGAGCTGAGCTGGGAGGGAAGGAGGACCCCATCCCAGAGTCACATGGATCTGGGTCGGGACCCATGTTCTGCTGTTTCTAGCCGTGTGACCCTGAGCAAGTCACTTGCCCTTTCTGTGCCACTGTCTCCTCTGATGCCCACTTCCCCTAAGGGCTGCCGTACGGTCCAAAGGAGGCAACGAACCATGCCTGGTGCACAAAGAGCACACCGCAGTCATCAAGCATTGCTCCACATCAAATGCAGCATTATCTGTGACTGGGATTTGAACCCAGTTCATCTGATTCCATGCCCTCTGGGTAAGTCCTTGTGGTACCAGGAGGTGATATGCTGCAGGGGGTCCAGGGCTCCAGGCAGATTCAGGTCATCCCGTAGAGGAGCCAGATGGCCACAGCTGCATCATAGGACAGCCAGGTGCTCAGAAAGCAGCCTGCTCAGCTCCCTGCCAGACATTCTCCCCTCACCTGGCCAGCAGCCTCTGCCCACAGGAGCTTCCTCTGTGCCCCTCACCAAATGCTCTCGGTCCCCTCTGCAAGGCCCAGTTTGAATCCCGCTCTGCCTCCAGGGGTGGGGACGCCCTGGGACCAGGTCCTCAACATCAGTCCCGTCCTTGGAGGCTCCAGAGCTGCTGTCCACCCTGAGCTCCCAGGGGACCATGACACTGTCGTTTGCCAACTGTCCTGCACCTTTGCTCTTCTGGTATCAGCCATGGCAGTCTAATCTTCACCCTTAGCACCTTCAAGCTGATGCCACATGCCCCAGCCAGGTGCTTCCCACCTACAATCTCTTTGGAGTCACTTGGCTGGTAGGGGACAGAGGCAGGATTTGAACCCAAGACTGTCTAAAGTCCACACTTTTTTTTTTTTTTTTTGAGACAGAGTCTCACTCTGTTGCGCAGGTTGGAGTGTAGTGGCACAATCCTGGCTGACTGCAACCTCCACCTCAGGTTCAAGCAATTCTCCTGACTCAGCATCCTGAGTAGCTGGGATTACAGGCACGTGCCACAGTGCTTGGCTAATTTTTTTTTTTTTTGTATTTTTAGTGGAGACAGGGATTCACCATGTTGGCCAGGCTGGTCTCGAACGCCTGACCTCAAGTGATCTGCCCGCCTCGGCCTCCCAAAGTGGTGAAATTATGGGCATGAGCCACTGCACCCAGCCAAAGTCCACATTCTTAACCATCCTCCTAATTCTCCTCGATCCCTGCTCCAGGCAACACTTCCCTGATTCCCCGACCTTCTCGGGGAAAGGGTCTGGTCCAGCCCCTGTTGGACCGTTCGGCTCTGAATCTCAACCGGAACTGGAAGTGGAGCCATCTTCACTCCAGCACGCTCCTGTCTCAAATCACTTGTTGAATGAATGAATGAATGTGCTAGTTGCCTCTATCTGAGAGTGGGAGGGTCAGAGGACCCAGAGAGGATGGGGTGCCTTGGTCCTCTTTGCCTGAAACAAAACTGGAGAATTTTTCATTCATTTGTGACAGGGTCTCACTCTGTCACCAAGGCTGGAGTACAGTGGTGTGACCATGGTTCACTGCACACTTGACCTCTTGGGCTCATGCAGTCCTTCCACCTCAGCCTTCTGAATAGCTAGGACTATAGGCACTCACTATCATGCCTGGATACTTTTTTTTTTCTGTAGAGATGGGGTCTCACTATGTTGCCCAGGCTGGTCTTGAACTCCTGGGCTCAAGTTATCCTCCCCTCTCAGCCTCCCAAGGTGCTGCAATTACAAGTGTGAGTCACTGGGCCTGGCCCATTCATTTTTTTTTGACAGAGTTTTGTTCTTGTTGCCCAGGCTGGAATGCAATGGCGTGACATTGGCTTACTATAGCCTCGGCCTCTCGGGTTCAAGCGATTATCCTGCGTCAGCTTCCTGAGTAGCTGGGATTACAGGCATGTGCCACCACATCCAGCTAATTTTGTATTTGTAGTAGAGATGGAGTTTCTCTATGTTGGTCAGGCTGGTCTCAAACTCCCAACGTCAGGTGATCCACCCGCCTTGGGTTCCCAAAGTGCTGGGATTTTTTTTTTTTTTTTTTTTTTTTTTTTAAAAGAGAGATCTTGCTCGGTTGCCCAGGCTGGAGTGCAGCGGCATGATCATGGCTCACTATCGTCTTGACATCCCAATCACGGGTGATCCTCCCTCTTCAGTCTCCCAGGTAGCTGGGACCACATGCGTATATCACCACACTCAGCTAATATTTGTAGAGACAGAGACCCCTTACATTGCCCAAGCTGGTCTCGAACTCCTAGTCTCAAGTGACGTTCTCTCCTTTGCCTCCGAAAGTGCTGGGATTATAGGCCTGAGCCACCACATAGGCTTTACGTCTAACTTCTTCTTGGCTGTGGTCCAGGGGTCTTGTTTTCTGAGTCCTGACGATCCCCATCACATGCTTCCAGGTTGACTCACTCCTCGTACAACCCTCTGACCCAGCGCTCTCCACAGCTATGTCCGCAACTCTCCACATAGGGTGTTTGTTGAGCCACTTCCTTTCCTACAGAGGCCACCAATATCTTTCTGTGGCATGTGAGACCCACTTCAGATAAATGTGAAACTTTGGAATCCATGAAAGGCATAATTCACTTCTCTGTCAAGGGATACAGCTCACTGGTCAGAAATTGTATCTGTTCTCTGAGGAACCATTGCATTCAGCCCCTCCTGGCTGACTTCCAGCCCCCCCCCTGCTGTGTCTTCATTTCTCTCAAATCCCCCCACCACCTGATCAGGTCTCCTTAAAGACCCTGTCTTTGCCCTCAGAGAACACCCCATGCTCTACCTCAAACTCTCCCCGCACTTCTGGCCCTGCATCCCTCATTCTCACTCTACCTAGACTAGCACTTGCTAGTGGAGCGCTGGGGTGTCACCGCTTTGGAGAAGAGGTTTAAAGGTCTCCATATCCAGGAGCCGGCTCTGATATCTCACCCCACCCGCCTAAGGCTGATCATTAACCCAGAACTTATATAAAGATGGGTCCTGCCTGGAATGGTATAGCGCTGCTGCAGCCATGGCCAGCACGGTTAGCCCCAGCACCATGGCTGGGACCCCAGAGCCACCTCCATTGTCTGATCGAATCCAAAATGCTGCCGACATCTCAGTCATTGTCATCTATTTTCTGGTGGTGATGGCTGTTGGGCTGTGGGTAAGTGGAATCCCAGTGGCTTTTAGGGTGGGCACAAGGTTTGGGAGGGGGTATCTTAAGAGGAGGAAGGGGTGTGGTTGTGACAAAGTTTTTCACAGATGTCACTGTGTTATTATCAGAGTCATTTTCTTGTGTGTTGCATAAATAATTCCTAAAATGAGCTAACTTACTCTCCTAACAATCCCACTGTGTGCACAGAGCCAGCACCGGGACCTTCAGATTTACTTTGCATCCCCAGTACCTGGTATAATGAACAAAGATGTTATTTTTATTATTGCATTTCTTTGACTGTCTTTTGTTTGTTCATTTTCTGACTTAGTGAGTTGGACTCTTAATTCGTTTATGTTGATTTTTCTTTTTAATCATGAGTTTGAGGCTGCAAATTTTCTTGCAAGCATGGCTTAGTGATACCTCACATGATTTTCGTGAGAATAATCAGAGCCGTTAAGACAGAAGTTAAGGATTACGTCTTTTTAAAGTCCTTCCAGCTCTGGGTTTTTATGAAGGGATTGCTTTTCAAGTCCTCTAAAATCTGATGCTACAGAACAGTTTCCAGGAAAATGTTTCTGTAGGAGTGCTGAAGTCACCCCTCTCGGCACCCTGGCCAGAGCCTCTGGGATGTCTGGGTGTGCCTGCTGCTGCTTGACCCTCACCTATCTTCCCTTCCATTCAGGCAATGCTGAGGACCAACCGAGGCACTATAGGAGGCTTCTTCCTTGCTGGTCGTGATGTGGCCTGGTGGCCGGTAAGTGGACCAGTTTCCTGGAGATAAATTTCCTGGGTGTGTGCTTAAAAGTGAACGTAGGCCGGGCACGGTGGCTCACACCTGTAATCCCAGCACTTTGGGAGGCCGAGGCTGGCGGATCATCTGAGATCAGGAGTTTGAGATCAGCCTGGACAACATGGTGAAACCCCGTATCTACTAAAAATACAAAAATTAGCTGGGTGTGGTTGTGCATGCCTGTAATCCCAGCGACTCAGGAGGCTGAGGCAGGAGAATCGCTTGAACCTAGAAGGCAAAGGTTACAGTGAGCCAAGATCGCGCCACTGCACTCCAGCCTGAGCAACAAGAGTAAAACTCCATTGCCAAAAATAAAAAAAAAGTGAATGTAAAAACATTTAGAATGTTGACTATTTCTGATGTACACTGGTTGCCTACTCACTGGGGCTCCATTCCTAAATCCCTGACATCATGGCTCCTTCCTGTAATTCCAGGACATTACAATACGTCGCCTATTATGACAGCAGGTCCACTCTGGCATTGAAGGACCCCAGTTCAGCCCTACTTCATATTCTTTTCTCCTGCTCCTATCAAGCATCGTCTCCTGGCTTCTTACAAGCTCTGCACACTCCTGCTTTGCTCCCAGTCCAGAGCTGATGCTGGCCGTCTTGTTAGGATTGGCCTCCCAACCTCTGCTCCCCTCCTTCAATGCCCCACCCCACCCCTTCCTCATCTGAGGAGCCTCCCAGCTCTCTCCATGGGTCTTCATGTCCCATGCAGTTATTGGCTGTGTCCCCTGTGATGGTGCTAATGCTGATGCCTCTTGATTCTTGCCCAGTGGGTGTTCTTGTGGGGTTTTGATATGCGGCCCCCACAGCCAGGGTCCCACTGCAGGAGAGGCTGCATCTTCCCCTGTCCACCTGCAGAGTGTCACCTCGGCATCGCATTATACAGTGGGTGCTTAGCAAATGCTTTCTTCACAGATCTGACTCATTTTCTAAATGGTATGAAGGGAAGTAGAGATGGGGAAATGTTCTAGCTGGGGTGATTGAGGCAGAACAACTGGAAGTTTAAAATGAATTTTATTTGGGGCATCCAATCAGTCCTTTTTAGGACTATTAATGAAACATATAAGGCTCAAGCGATCTTGAAGCCACAAACCAGCTAACCCCATCCTCTGGCCCCATGGAGCCGAGTAGAAAAAGTGATTTTACAGAGCCCTTAAAAAGTGGGGAAAGCAGCAGCACTGCAGGGTCCCACACCCCATTTCTCTTCTGCTGGAACTGGTGCTGACCCATGCCCACTCAAGAGACCACACTTGATCTCTGGGTCCAAAGAACAGCAGGTGCTGTGATGGTGAGGGAATGAATAAGAGGGTCTCATGGCTGGAAGGATGGAGAGAAATTTCCTGCTAGGCAGCTTTGGGGTCCCTGCAGCTGACTAAAGGGACAAGAGCTGATGGGAGGTCTGGCAGTGCTTGGCCAAGGACAGGCTCAACCCAGAGCATTTCAGTAGATTGACCAATGCTCCCCCCAAGGCAGGGGCCAACAAGCTTTTCTGTAAAAGGCCAGATTAGACCTATTTTAGGGTTTTCAAGCCATATAGTCTGCTGCAGCCACGCAACCTTGCCATTGTAGGACAAAAACCAGCCCCAGTCCATATGGAAAACCAATGAGTGTGGCTGTGTTCCAGACACTGAAATTTAAATCATATAATTTCATTTTTAGTTTCCATCTTACAAAATATTATGCTTATTTAGATTGTTAACCATTATTTAATAACGCAAAGATGGGACAAAACAGTCTTGGCTCATGGGCCACGTAGAAACTGACTATGGGCTGGATTAGCTTGGGGGCAGACATTTGCTTGACTCCTGCTCTAAGGAGTAGTGACCAAAACATCTCAGCATCTGCCTGTTTTCAAAAAGTCTGATTTGGGTCTTTTAACTCCAATCCTAGTTTGTTATCTTGCATTACAGATGGGCGCCTCTCTCTTTGCCAGTAACATCGGCAGTGGCCACTTTGTGGGGCTGGCTGGGACAGGAGCAGCTTCAGGAGTCGCCACTGTAACATTTGAATGGACTGTAAGTGACATCATAGGCTTTTTCCTTTGAATCAAAACCATATCCAGTGTCTTAGTATGTTTCATGCTGCTCTGACAGGATATCACCGGCTGGGTAATTTATAAAGAACAGAAATGTCTCTTACAGCTCTGAAGGCTGGGAGGGGCAAGGGCTGAGGGACACACATCTGGCAAGGGTCTTCTTGTTTTGTCATCCTATGATAGAAGGTGGAAGGGTACTGGGGTATGAGAGAGAGGGAGAGTAAAAGAAAGCGAGAGAGAGAAAGCGAGAGAGAGAAGAAGAGGAGAAAAGGGAAGAGAGTGAAACTCATTTGAAAAATCAGAAACCCCCTCCTACTATAACTGATCACTGCCTCGATAACGACGTCCATCTGTGCTAACAACATCCATCTATTCATGAGGGAAGAGCCCTCATGACCTAATCACTCCTCAATGGTCTGACCTCTCAATACTGTTACACCGAGGATTAAGTTTCCAACACACGAACTTGGTGAGACACACTGAAACCAAAGCATCCAGGTATATTAATGAAAGTCATATCCCATGTTTTTCTGGAAATCTGTACAGAATGTTTTCCTCTTTCATTTTCTGTCTTTCTTCTAGTTCACTTCTTGGGTTTTTATTTTCTTATTTGTTATCTTTTTCTTTGCCAATTTAAGTTCTGGGATATATGTGCAGAACATACAGGTTACCTAGGTATACATGTGCCATGGTGGTTTGCTGCACCTAGCAACATGCCATCTGGTTTTACGCCCCACGTGCATTAGGCATTTGTCCTCCCCTTACCTCCCATCCGCTGACAGGCCCCAGGGTGTGATGTTCCCCTCCCTGTATCCATGTGTTCTCATTGTTCAACTCCCACTTGTAAGTGAGAACAGGTGGTGTTTGATTTCTGTTCCTGTGTTAGTTTACCGAGAATGATGGCTTCCACCTTCATCCTTGTCACCGATAGGCGAGCGCCACCATACCCAGCTAATTTTTTTTCTTTTTTTCTTTTTTTTTTTTTTGAGACAGAGTCTCACTGTGCCACCAGGCGCCAGGCTGGAGTGCAGTTGCGCAATCTCAGCTCACTGAAACCTCCTCCTCCTGGGTTCAAGAGATGCTCCTGCCTCAACCTCCTGAGTAGCTGGGACTATAGGCACGCGCCACCACGTCCAGCTAATTTTTGTATTTTAGTAGAAACGAGGTTTCACCATGTTGGCCAAGATGGTCTTGATCTCTTGACCTTGTGATCCCCCTGTCTCGGCCTCCCAAAGTGCTGGGATTACAGGTGTGAGCCCCCATGCCCAGCCCAATATTTGTATTTTTGTTTTTTAGTAGAGATGAGGTTTCACCATATTGGCCAGGATGGCATCAATCTCTTGACCTTGTGATCCACTCACCTCAGCCTCCTAAACTGCTGGGATTACAGGTGTGAGCCACCACGTGTGGCCAAAACCTATAATGTTTTAAGAAAGTTTACAAATTTGTGTTGGGCTGCATTCAATGCCAGCTTGGACCACAGGATGGACAAGTCTGCTCTAGCACATGGCTGGACATGTGATGGATGTGCCGCCAATAGTTCTTGAGTTGCCTGAGTCTTTCTGTTCTTTTATGTTACTCTTTCTGATGTTTTCACATACGTGCATGTGCACAATGGGCAGAAGAGGATGCCTGTGTAAAGGAAAGTTGGATCATAGTGAAAGTTTAAACAGACTATCCTAGGTTGCACTCAAAGTGACCTTGAGTAATCACAAATGCCTGTGCCCCTCCCCTGTTGAAGATTCTGCCCCTACTTTTACTTTAGTAATATCTGGGAGTCCAGGATGGATCCAGCCTCCAGATATGCCCTATGGCTGAAGCTTTGTTTTAATAGTGCCATGGACACTAGAATGAAGTCAGTCTCCAGAGTCACGGCCAGAATGACCTATGGACCAAGTGGGTGTGACAAGCAGGCTGCAGAGAACTCAGACAACTCCTGTGACTATGATCTTGGGCTCCCTTAATCTCTGTAAGGCTCAAGTTTCCCCTCTGTAAGATAAGCATAACTGTGCTGCTCACATCTGCCTCACTTAGACTTGAGAGCAGCATAAGTGATATATGAAAAGACTCTTTGTAAAAATTGCACATTTATGCTAGATTATATTATTACCATCATTGGATGTGGCAAGACTTGGGGAGCACTAGGGATATTCTATTTCCAGATTCCTTTCTCATTGCTCTGTTACTCTATCATTTATGCAATCCTTTGGCAAAGATTATATGACCTTGTAGGGGTTCCACTGGGATCAGATCCCTTATATTTTTTCCCTTTTTCACCACACATACTTTGTGGCAACTTAAGCCCCAGAAAATGGTGGCCCCTGAGTTATAGAAACAGAAAAAAAGGAACTCACAGTTATCTCAGGATAATTGTTTGAATGGGATAGGATTAAGCCAACTTTTTTTTTTTTTTTTTTTTTTTTTTTTAATTTTCAGACTCAGAGGTCATATAAGGACAAGCTCCACAAGCCAAGCCTCTTTAACATCTCACTCTCTTATTTTGGTTCCTCATAGTCCTCAATAATGTTGCCGATTCTTGGATGGATCTTTGTCCCCATCTATATCAAGGCAGGGGTGAGTATCTGTTACCAAAAGGCCAGAGTTCAGTTTTAGGCGCTGCTGCTCGCTGCACAGAAAGTCAATCACTGAGACAATGAATATTGCCAGGATAAAAGGCTTTTTGGGGTGCTGCAGCCAAAGAGATGGGAGCTCAGTCTCAAATCCGTCTTCCTGATAGACTAAAATAAGGGGTTTATATAGCAGGGAAGATATGTAACCACGTGTGGGAAACAGGGATGAGGGGACGGATAAGAAAGAGCAGTCAGTCAACAGGAGGCAGATAGTGGGTTAGACAATTATAAAAGGTGAGGGGTCTGGCTTCTCATTGTTCACGTGTGGTGATCTCGTGAGTTTCAGCTCTTTGACCCAATCCAGGAGGCCTGATTATTGATTTTTCTGAAAGGAACTGAGATAAGACAAACCTAACTTTCTCCAAGACTGGGAGGATCAGTTTCTATGCTTATTCAAAGAAACCACAGATACCAATTCTATGGGATGATTGGGCCAGTTCCATATCCATAGGTATTCTGGGTAAACCTGAAAGGTGTATCTTTCAGGCATTCATTCATTCACTCTTTCTCTTCAATCATGAAACCTGGGTTTCTGTCATTCACCTGGCCTATTGCTAGTAACATACAGAAGACAAAAATCAAATTTCTTGCCTAGAGATGTTTCCAGTATAGAATGTGGCCACAACCAGTTGGGAAATCAGTGGTGTCCCTGCATAATGACCCTGGAGCAGAGATGACAGGTTTGATGGCAGAGTAAAGATGAAGGCAGTGGAGGGGGAGGATTATGATCAGCTTGAGGGCTGGGGTGCTTGAGGCCACCATTAATGGAGCCAGGGATTCCAGATTAGAGGTAAATGATGGATGAAAAGGAGAGTGATGATTTCACTTTGCAACAGGGTAAGTGTTTGGTGCATTCTGGACACTAAGGTGGAGACACCCAACTGGCACTGGGAAAGTGAGATCTACAGATAGGTCAGGAGAGAGACTTTGGCTGGAGTTATCAATGGGCGTGCCCTTCTCTTCAGAAGCATGGTTTAAGAATCCACTTTCTGCCAGTCACTGTGCAAGGTATCAGGTCTACCTCTATGGATAAGAAGCCATGGTTTCATCACAAGGAAGGGGCCATACACAGCACTTTCACTTACAGGTGCTTAGGAAATGCTGAATAATCTGAACACACAGGGACTTAAGGGTAAGTTCCTGTCAATGTCTGTCTCTGCAGGTGATGACCATGCCAGAATATCTCAAGAAGCGGTTTGGCGGGGAGCGACTCCAGGTCTACCTCTCCATCCTCTCCCTCTTCATCTGTGTGACTTTGTCAATCTCTGTGAGTTTAGAGCCTCCTGACATTTTAGCTTCAAGAGGTTGTCAGATGGCGCCAGAGGGCTGACATGAGAGAGCTGGATGTGTACACTGTCAACAGCCTTTCAAGGGTCAAGCCATACGGATGTCTTAAAGTCTCAGGGGTGTCTCTTCCAAGTCTTATGGGGAAAAAGGGAGCTTCAAAGACCCTGTGTTCATAGAGTGGTAGACTTTTAAGTCATGAGAGACTCCAGGGTATAAATCTGCCCTCTCATCAAGGATATGAAAAAATGAATGTACAAAAAGAACAAAATGTCTTGTTCAAGTCACATAGCTCTTTAGTAAAGGGAAGACTTCTCTGGCCTCCTGCTTTTTCCAACTCAAGATAACCTTTACATTTTTTCTCAGAGCATGTCCAAGTTTACATTTTCATTTTCAGTTTGATTAAGCCACAAGGAAAGTACTTTGTATTATTATACTGATTTTTCTTAAATTCATTCTACTTTATCTAAGACCACCATGGTAAGACACATGTCACAAATAAGTGTTAAAAAAAATTAAAGTACTTTTTAAGTACTCTTTTATAAAGTTACAATTTTGGGGCCAGGTGTGGTGGTGCATGCCTGTAATCCCAGCACTTTGGGAGGCTGAGAAAGGTGAATCACTTGAGGTCAGGAGTTTGAGACCAGCCTGGCCAACATGGTAAAACCCCATCTCTACTTAAAATACAAAAATTAGCCAGGCATGGTGGTGCACACCTGTAATTTCAGCTACTTGGGAGGCTGAGGCAGGAGAACAGCTTGAACCCAGGAAGCAGAGGTTGCAGTGAGCCGAGATCACACCACTGCACTCCAGTCTGGGAGACACGAGATGCCATTTCAAAAACAACAACAGAAGTTACATTTTTTGAAGATAATCAGTGAGGAAAGATGGAAGGAATCTAGAGATTCAGCAGCACATGTAAAAAACAAAGGCTAACTTATTTGCTCCTCATGTGTCAGTCACTAATGAAATCATCTCAAGTTTACAATCTAGGCAGGTGTCTCAGTTTCTGAGAGAAAAGCTGACCTTTCCTATTGCTCCTGTCAAACTGAGTCATTGTTGGAAGTGAACCAGCTGTTTAGATTAGATGGCATGAGCCTTCCCGATGCAATGTGAGCATTGCCCAGCAATGACTGCATATTATTGAGCTTTGTGTTGGTGTAGTAAAGATTCCTGAGTTCACCATTTGGCTAAGGCAGTAAGATGGGAAGGTTAGGCGAGGCAGAGGGAAGCAGAGGAGCTCACAGGTGTCAGGGGCTTAGGGTTCACACATTCCTCAAATTGTTGGACTTGCTAATCTCCCAGTTCTCCTGTGGTGCTGACATCTATAGCTGTATGGTTTGGAGGAGGAGGAAGCAGGCATGAAGGCAGAGAACAGAGGACAATGCACAGCGAAAGAGCCCTCAAGGGATGCAAATACCCAGGTTGGAGGGTTACTGGTGGATGGGGAGGGACAGAGTGTTGGTGAGCTGGGTGTGGGTGCAGGGAAGCCATTTGTGTGTCTGTGGCTGTGCAGAGTCCATGGTTGGCTGAAAAGACACCTTAGCAGGAGTCCATTCTTACCTGCAGGTTTATGTTTTAAGTGACATTAATCATGATTAATCTTAGACATGACCTTCTGTATACTCTTAGACTCTGGATAACAGATTGTGTCCTTGTTACTTATTAAACAGATAATTATGAGAGGTTAGGACAGGACAGTTTTCATAGGTCTCCTCTGCCCAGATTGGAAAAAGGTCATCCTGTTCACTGGTTCTCAACCTGCAGTAACATGTGCATTGAGCTTTGATACAAACTATTATCTAATCTACAGCCTTTATTCAGATATTTACTATTGTTTTTAACACAGTCCTTTATAGCAAAAGAATCACTGCAATTCCTCTTTACTATGAAAAATAATTTATAATCATTGTTAGTGTAATTAATGCCACTGAATTATATACTTAAATGGTTAAAATAAATTTTATGTCATATATGTTTCACCACAATTAAAAAAAATGTCATTGGTGACTGAGCCTAGTGACTTCTGCCTATAATCCCAGAACTTCTGGAGGCTGAGGCAGGAGGATCACTTGAGGCCAGATGTTCCAGACCTGCCTGGGCTAAACAGTGAGACCCTTGTCTCTCCCCCACCCCGCCCCAAAATTTATATTTAGCCAGGTATGGTGGCTCACTTGAGCCCAGGAGTTGAATTACAGTGAGCTAAGATCATGCTACTGCACCCCAGCTTGAGTGATCTGGAGTAGTGCCTATCTCTTTAAAAAAAATTCATTGATACTGTCAACTACTTACATGTAATTTCAAAACCATGAATTTAATTATTTGATAGTAGTATATAATAGAAAAAGGTCAAGGAATTCATAAGATAAAATTGTGTTTTAACATGGAAATGATTAAGTAGAACTACACAAAAAATCAAAGTGCTGTGGTGTAATAATCGCCCCTCTGTGGATGAGTATAAAATCAGTATGAATGAAAATAGCTACAAATGCAGACAGAGGCAGATATGCACGAGGGGCACCACCACAGGCAACACTCTTTTTCTGAAATGGTGAACATTTTTTTAAAAGTGAAATCTTCCCTCAATACTAGTTGGTATTCCTGAAAAACCCCAATGTGCAATAGAGTCAGGTGGGATGATAAAACGTTAGGTTTTATTTCAAATCTTAGAGAAAAATACAACCATCTCCTGCTACACCTGTTTCCAGCCCCAAGTTCTACAAAGAAACAGAGTCTTGCTCTATCTCCCAGGCTGGAGTGTAGTGGTGCAACCTTGGCTCACTGTAACCTCTGCCGCTGTTTCAAAAGATTCTCCTGCCTCAGCCTCCCCAGTAGCCAGGATTACAGGCATGTACCACCATGTCTGGCTATTTTTTTTTTATATTTTTAGTAGAGATGGGGTTTCACCATGTTGGCCAAGCTGGTCTCAAACACCTAACATCAAATGATCCACCCACCTGGGCCTCCCAAAGTGTTTCTCACATGTCTAACTATTTGAGATTGTTACATACATCATTGCCCTTTAATCTTAAAAATTTCAGTGTAAATTTCCCCTAGATTTAACATTCACTGATGATTCTACCTGATCCAATGATTTTTACCTGATCAGTCTTTACTGTGGCAGTTGTAAAATGATAGATTTCTAAACTGAGTATTCCTGTATATTATTAATCCTAGAAGCAGGGATAATTTTTTGCAAAACCACAGCAGAATTATCAACTCAAGCAAACATAACATGGATAGAGTTATCTACCATTTAAATTCCAACTTTGTCAACTGACTCTGAAGTAATCCTATTTATCATCCTTTCTTCTCCAGTACAGGATGTGGTCTAGAGTCAGGTATTACACATTCAGTTGCCAAATGTCTTCAGCCTGCTTTCATCTGGAACATTTCTATGTACGCCTTTTCTGTCTTTGATGACACTGACATTTTTGAAGGATAGCATCCCTCCTCCACTCTTCTTAATATGACAATCTTTATTTTGGACTTGCCTGATATTTTTCATCATTGGATTCAGGTTATGCATTGTTCTTGGCTGGAATACTGCATAAGTGATGTGTCCTACCTAAAGTATCCTATCTAGAAGCATTCAATATCCATCTGTTCCTTAATGGCGATGTTAATTTTGATCACCTGATTGAAGCGTTGCCCAACTTCTCCAATATAGAATTATTGTTTTATTTTCCCCTGCAACAAATAAGCATTAGTGATTTATTTTCCCCTGTAATGAAAAGGATCTGTGCTAGATACTTTAAACCACTTAAATATTCAGTTCCTCTTCAAAATTTTCCAATAGATCCAGCATTGATAAATGATCTTATCAGATCCAATCTTTACTAGGATGGTTGACAAATTATTTTCCAACTCTAGCACTCCTTCCATAGTTCCCATCCAGCATTCAGCAGGCTACTGAGGGCAAGAGTTTTCCCTTCTCTATTTAGCTATTACTGATGTGGACTGATACATCCCTGTTTGTCATTGGTTTACAAATATTATTATATGTAGTTATTTTGACACTCATGCCATATTTGGCCAGTGAGAGCTCCCCAAACTGGATTCTGTGTAAAGGATAGGGCATAATCCCATCATTTTATTGAGCAATTTCTTAAATTCTGGCATAACAAAATGTTTCAGACTCATCTTGTACCAGCCCTCCTCCAGCCCTGGAATCACCTATTTTTCTGGGACATCCCTGGCTCCTTTAGTGGGGAAGGGTTTTAGAAACCAAAATCTAAGTGCTAAGTGTGCTTATTGACTTTTTTTCTTGACCCTATTAGCTGACAGAATTAGGAAATAAATGCATACATACACCCATATAAATGCACATCATGTAAATACATACATTCATATACACACATACATATAGTTTCTGGGCAACTATACACATACATATACATAGTTTACAAATCATGAGTTCACACTAATACCTCCAATTCCAATCCAGCTCTACAGAGTATTTTATTGCCTTCTGCCATTCTATATTCATATGTTCCTTCTTCCACAATTGAGAATCCTGACTCTCTACGTCATCAACACACACACACATGCACACACACACAATTTGTTTGCTCCATCCTATAATGCATCAAAAATGGTTTCAGAAATCTTCAGGACATTGGTCTGGGCAAAGATTTTTTTTGCTAAGACCTCAAAACCACAGATAATAAAAGCATAAGTTGACAAATGGCCTCAACTGATCCACCCACCTTGGCCACCCAAAGTGCTGGGATTATAGGCATGAGCCACTGTGCCTGGCCGAAACAAAAATAAGTAAATACTTTTAAAAAGAAAACGATTTCAGAATTGCCTCACCCATACTGCTACAAAGAACAAACTAAAAATGAATTCAGAACTTTTTTGCAGTTCTCCTCCATCCCCATCACAAAACTAGTGCATCAGTAAACATGGTGTTCCTCATTTTGCCAAATTTTGTTGCCACTTAATAGAAGTTTCTCCTCAGTGTAGGTCCCTGTTCTGAAAGGGAGCTTGGGCCATTAGTTTTGAGAGCTTGTTTGAACTGGACTACTCTGACCTCTTTCAAAACTTACCAAGGAGCCCTTAGAGTTGCAAAACCCCTTCCATGCTCTGCTGTAGTCCTGCAGTTGTCCCACCGTGCTTTCCAGTGGTCACCTGGTGGCTATGTGGGGATGTCTAACTCTAAGTTTCTGCAGATAAGCTGCTGTTTCTCTCTGCCTCCTCCCAGATCTTGCTAGCCATGTAGGTTTTGTGGCTAAGGTTGATTTGCACCTGCCTTCTTGCCTTTTGAGCCTCGTGGAAATACCCCATCATCTAATTTTGTGGGTTTTGCAATATACTTGCACTGTCTAATGCAGAGATTCATGGAAGTTCACAAACTATGCTGCCACATTCACCCTTTTTCTAGAATGTTTTATCTATTCTAAGTGTTCCCCCACATATTTCATTAAGTAAAATCCCATGATAACAGTATTAACAATATGTTTAACCATATAAGCTTCTGAGTCACAATACACAGGTTTAAATCCTGAGCTTACCACTTTCTATCCACGTCATCCAGGACAAATTCCCTAAGCCTCAATTTCCTCAGATGTAAAATGATGATAATACCTACCTGACAGGTAGTTTGGGGACATGGAGAAGGGTAGGGGGTGAATTCTCTCAAGGTTTCAAGGAAGAGATAATCCCTTGGCAACTTAAGTTTTTCCAGAAGAGACAAAATATGTTACCCAATTCATCTCTTAAAACGGTTCTGTTTATAATTTTAGGAAAGTTAAAGCAAACAGATAATTTTAAAAATTATCATTGGCAAACAAGAATACTAATTTTAACAATTTCCTGCTAGCTGTTACATATGTATACTAACATATATAACTAATCATATGTATGTATGTGTATATATATACATATATATACATATGTAACAGCTAGCAAGAAATTGTCCTGAATTATTCATGTTAATCATGCTGAGCCAAACACTGTAGATAGAAAAATGTCCTTCCTACTGAAATATGTTTGCCTTAGAGAGATTTCTAAGCTGATTAGTCTCCTTTTTTTTAATGGTTAGACCTAAGGGCCCCTAGGAGGGTCAGAGACACATGTATTTAATTGAATTCCAACCAACATCATGCATTTACAGCATAGTCTGCATAATCTAAATTAATTCTGCACTTTCCCCCTCAATTTCATAAATAATCATAACTCCCCAATTCAAACAATTATAAATCATTGTTCCATATATCTATCTGGAATATATATGAAACAATGTTCTTTGGTTGCTTTCTATTTTTGTACACACTATCTTTTTTTTGTGTGTGAGATAGAGTCTCACTCTGTAGCCAGGCTGGAGGGCAATGGAGTGATCTCAGCTCATAGCAACCTCCACTTCCCAGGTTCAAGTGATTCTCCTGCCTCAGCCTCTCGAGTAGCTACAGGCACACGCCACCAAATTAATTTTTGTATTTTTAGTAGAGACAGAGGTTTACCATGTTGGCTAGGATGGTCTCAATCTCTTGACCTGGTGATCCGGCTCCCTCGGCCTCCCAAAGTGCTGGGACTACAGGCGTGAGTCACCACACCCAGGCTATTTTTGTATATATTTTCTATCCAATATATTAGGTTGTTGCAAAAGTAATTGCAGTTTTTGCCATTAATAAATTTTATAGTATGTGAAACACACACAATAGAATATATCCTCCGTCACAGTCGAGGGGCTTTCTATAAGCAATTACTCAGCTTCTCTAAGCCTCACGATACAGAAAAAGTTCTCAGGACATGTCACCTCATTTAAAAAGCACCTCAACTGAGCAATGAACTAACTTCTATGAGAATATAGAAGAGAGTTAAGATAGTGAAAATTGTTTTTTGAGGCTTTATGAAAGGTATTACTCTGGGGCCGTCTCAGTGGATTCCTGAAAGATAAGTAGGAGTCTACCAGGAAAAGAAGGGTTGAGAAGAGTGGACACTGGAGCAGAGGAACCAGTGGCCTGAAATGCATGATTCCTTCTCATCCTGACTGTTCCCTTTTTAGTCAGATATATTTTCTGGAGCCATATTCATCCAGCTGGCCTTGGGATTGGACCTTTACCTGGCAATCTTCATCCTCTTGGCTATCACTGCTGTTTATACCATCACCGGTGAGTATGTTGGATATTTTGTTCACTCAGGGTGTCTTCTGCTGAGCCCAACCCACAGCATTCTCGGCGTTAGCTGTGTCAATGCCGAGGTAAAGACACCATATCATTCCCACTATGTGAGTCAAGCACAGCACCAGAAACACAACTAGAGCATATAAAACAGGTAATTTGGTTCAACTATGAGTTTGGTACCCAGATTGGCACTTAGAATTCAGTGTATCATCCACAAGGAAACAGCAGCTCAGATAGGAGACTGGCAAATGCAAGGTGAGGTTCAAATGAACACTAGGATGCCAGGGCATGGCCATGGCCGTGAATGGCACTAGTTGAAAGAGGAAATCTGGAGCACTGGATTGCTGGCGGGAGATGGTGGGTGGTAATAGTCAAAGCAGGCCCTCATGAACCAGGTATGTTGATATGCTTCTCATGTATATTAACTTATAAAAATTAAACAATACCAGCTGAGTTGGAAAACCTAAGGAAAAATACCAGCTAGGACAATTTTGGGGCCATTTTGGTGCATTTGAACTGTCAACCTAAAATAAGCAACTCTCCAAAATGAGGTGTTTCTTCAGGAATAGTGAGGGTTTGCAAACCAGGATACATGTGCTATGGCAGACCATAGGCACTTCCAAGGGGGTTGGGGCAAGGGGAGACTCATAAAGACAGAGAGGGAGAATGCACATAAGCTGTTCTGAAATAAAGGTGATCGTTTCACCTGCTTATTGCAGGAGGTGGTATTTGTTCATTGGTGGCATTGGCTGTTGCTAGGAGACAGTCTTCACAGAAGTGGCTTAACCAAAAAGTTCTAGCTGGGATTATGTCTTGCAACAGTTCCTGTTACAGGCATAGGTGTATGAGGGCCTACCTACATGGCCTCCCAGCCCCATTTCATTAGGGTTTGGCATAAGTGTCTCTATTCTGGAATAGAAAACTTTCACAGAGCATGTTTCAGAATAAGGGAGAGATAAAGGCGTGAGTTTTCAGGAGTCATCTTGTTTTCCCATGACACTCTCATAAAGGGAATATCTTGTTGACCGACAGCCTACTTAGTCTAGAATTGGAAAAGAGTTTTGGTTTTGTTTGTTTTTTTTTTTTTTTCACTATAGCAAAACACAAAACACAGAAACTGTATCTGGTATTGAATTAATGAAACAATGTTATGTTCCGGCACTAGAGCCAAAGTGGTTTTGCTGGATATTTTAGAGCAGGTGCACTGTGCTGAATGGGGGTCAACTGAGGGATTGTTAAGAGAAACCTTCATGGTAGTAAAGTGCTGCCTTTTCCCCTACTTAATATCCAAAACTCACACAAAGATGAAATTTCACAGTAATTCACAGAAACTTAATCAGAGCAAGGCATGAGAAGTAGAACCAATGCTGAGGAGATCATGATGCCAGGACAAGCTTGTGGCTCACCCAGGAGATTTAGATATCTTCTGCTGCATCATTTTCAGGGTTCTGGGTGGAGAAGAACCTAGTGGTGAAGGTAGTAAATACATGAGGACACACGGATAAAATGTCCTGGTTCTTTTCTCTCACCAGGGGGCTTGGCCTCGGTGATTTACACAGACACCCTCCAGACTATCATCATGCTGATTGGCTCTTTTATTCTCATGGCGTTTGGTAAGTGAGAACCCTGTGTGCAGTGCCCAGGGCCTGGAAATCATGGGACTTGTTTCTGTTCGGTCTGTCTGCTCTTTATTGGGATGCCTTCCAGTGCCATCTGGGCACATTTTCCAGTCGTTTATATAATCCCCATCACTGAAATCCCTGCCTGACTTCTTTCTTTATTATCTCAGCATGAGGAAATGGGTAGGGGAGGAGGAGAACATTACTTTCTTTTAAAAATCATCGCTTAGATAAGGTATCTCATTTAACCTTAATTTCTCTGTGTTAAGGACAGACAAAATCAGTACCACTGGGTTGATAATTTTACAGAAGCATTTGTGCATTAGATTCAAAGTCTGGAAACCTTTCATTTACATAGAATTTTTATGAAATGAAGGATTTAACAGTAGGAAAAAATCTGAGAACTGAATATTAGTTCAAATGAATAATACACAACCTATGTCTGTGTATTCCAACAATGTATTGTAGTGGATTTTTATCCAAAACATTCATAACCTCATTGTGACTATTCTGTATGAAAATCTATTATAATACATTATTACAGTACATAAATATAGGTTGGCTTTTTCTTCATAATGCTCATTTTATAGTATCAGTTAATTGCCATCAAACAATATTGATTCATTTACAGCTTGCCAATTTTTGTTTTCTCTTACTATGGTATCTATCTTTGCATAGGAAATCCATGAACACAGTAAAAAGGATATAGGGTGAAAGTAAGTGTCTCTTCCCTGTCCTGTCAGCATGCTCTGCCCACTCAAGCTACACTGAATGCAATGATCCTGAATGTGCATGTATCTAATCACACAGCTTGTAGGTACATGTAGCAAAAACTCAAAGAACTACAAAGACAATAAATATGCAATGACAGTTGGTGTTTTTAAACCAATATAAATGCCTCTAGCTACATATGGCTACTGAAAACTAAAAACTGTTGCTTATTTCCCTAGCCCTATTTCAGGTGTACAATATGGCTAGTGGCTACCATACAGGACGGCATAAATACAGGACAGTTCTATCACTGCACAGTGCTACTCCAGAGGTTGTTAGCATCAATTCTTTGTGTACTTTCTATTCAGTTTCCCAGAACTTCTGTGCTGGTCTTATTCACGGTGCTTTGGTTTCTGGCCTCAGTGATGCACTCCCTGGGATCACTGGTCTCTAGGCCTCAATTCTCCCATCTTTAGGATGAAGAGGGAGACTCTCATCTCCTAGGGTCTCCTATGTATTTTTGTTGCAAACCATATTTATCTAATCAAAGCAACTTCCTTGTATTGTCTGTACCCTCCACTCGGCTAAGTTCCTGCCTTGCACATTTATTTTGCACATGATCCCAGCACAGTGTTTTTCATATAGTAGGCCTTTAGCTAAATAATCAAGCAAATTAATGTTAACTCAACCCTGCAACTGTATAATCCCCTGATGAATTTTTCATCACTTAAAGCTATACTAAGGGACCCCAGATGCCTGAGCTCAGCTTTCTAAGAGCAAATACTATTCTCTTCTGCACCTGATTAGCCTTTCTAGATGCAAACAGGCTGAGTCTCATCATTTTCACTTTTCATGTCTAACCTGTCACCTCCAATTTCTGCTCATTATCTTTCTAATTTTTTATTGTAACAGGCAAAATTTGTGTTGCATCAGAAAACGAGATTGCATGTTAAGATCAGAAGAGCCAAACTCTGGGTCAAGAAGAGAGGCCTTTGGCTCCTGCTCTTTTCGGAGGAGCTGGGGCTTTCTGATGGCTGATTCTATGAGGCTCACCTTCTTAGCTCACCCTTCCAGTTTGCTTACGCTCTTAAATGGTTGGGATACATCAGGGTCAGCCTGTTGGATAACAGCTTCATTTTTATCTTAAAAGAGACACTAACTCAAAACTTCAAAGAGCAATATAGGAAGACAAGTCATAGTTATTTGCTTTGTGTACTTTGTGAAAGTCAATCTGATAGCATGGCCAATGCCAGTGGCGGTACCAGAAAGACATGGACCTGAGAGAAGACCACTGAGGATTCGACTGGGCTGATAGGAGGTGCTTGTGTACTTTCACCAAAAAATAGTCACCATAAACATTGGACGTCTTAGATTTCAGTAAGACATCTCATTTTACTCTGACACCTTTTCAGCATTTAACGAAGTTGGAGGTTACGAAAGCTTTACCGAGAAGTACATGAATGCCATCCCGTCCGTAGTCAAGGGGGACAACTTGACAATCAATGCCAGGTGCTACACACCTCGGGAGGACTCCTTCCACATCTTCCGAGATCCTGTCACTGGGGATATTCCATGGCCAGGAATTGTATTTGGAACGCCCATTACAGCTTTGTGGTACTGGTGCACAAATCAGGTGAAGTGTATGTGTTTGTGTGGGCATGTGTTTATGTGTTTCTTGTTCTTTCTTGTCTCATAGAAACATATCTAGTTTCTATTTTGCACACATATCATTTAAAGAGTCAAACAATTCTTCGTTGTTTTTTGAGATGAAGTCTCACTCACTCTGTCACCCAGGCTGGAGTGCAGTGGCATGACCACAGCTCACTGCAACCTCTGCCTCCCAGCCTCAAGCAATTCTTCCGCCTCAGCCTCCCAAGTATCTGGGATTACAGGCATGAGCCACCACACCCGGCTAATTTTTTTATTTCCAGTAGAGATGGGGTTTCACCATGTTGGCCAGGCTGGTTTTGAACACCTACCTGACCTTGGTGCTGGGGATTACAGGGGTGAGCCCCATGCCCAGCTTAAAGAGTCAAACACTTCTACAAAGCCTATTTAAAAATAGCTGCATGGCTCCCTGTTTTCTACCCTATTTCTTATACTTTAGAGGCAAATGCTTTCAGGTTTTTAAAGTGAGTGTTTTGGCATTTATTTCTGTTTCCTAGATCCTTGTGCTCAATGTGCAGTCTGTGAGCCATCAGCATGGACATCACCTTGGAGCTCACTAGGAATAAACTAACTACAACCCTATCTAGACCTTTGAATTGGAGTCTGCTTATTAACTTGATCCCCAAGTGATTCAGATAAATGTTTATGTTGCTCCCTCTTGGTTTTAGGATTTTATCGGTGGCTTCCCTATGATGAAGGATGAGTTTAGCTGTCCTTCAACCTTCCCTTCTTTTTTTTTTTTTTTTTTGAGACGGAGTTTCGCTTTTGTTACCCAGGCTGGAGTGCAATGGCACGATCTCGGCTCACCGCAACCTCCGCCTCCTGGGTTCAGGCAATTCTCCTGCCTCAGCCTCCTGAGTAGCTGGGATTACAGGCACGTGCCACCATGCCCAGCTAATTTTTTGTATTTTAAGTAGAGACGGGGTTTCACCGTGTTGACCAGGATGGTCTCGATCTCCTGACCTCGTGATCCACCCGCCTCAGCCTCCCAAAGTGCTGGGATTACAGGCTTGAGCCACCGCGCCCGGCTTCAACCTTCCCTTCTTAATCCCATGCAAGCACATCTATTTCCCCATCCTCCCAATAGCTGTCAATAACAATTTTGAAGAGATCAGCATTCAGTGCCACCATTTCTGTGACTACCTAAATGTAATTCACAGCTGAACCACGTGATGAACAGTGCCCGATTTTGCCTTAGCTTTTTCTTGTTCCTGGAATAATTTTAACTTGTCTTTCTTTTCTTTCTTTTTTAAAAATATTATTTTCCAAATAGAGACAGGCTCTTACTATGTTGCCTAGGCTGGTCTCAAACTCCTGAACTCAGGCAATCCTTCTGTCTTGGCCTCCCAACGTGCTGAGATTACAGGTGTGAGCCACCGCATCTGGCCAATTCTTAATTTTTCATTTTGAATTTTCTTGCTACTTATTACTCATTGAATGAAAGGTTCTCTTGGAGCCTGCCCTCTCAGTCTGCCAGCGCTCCTTCTGTTTGGTGTCCAACCTTATCCACTGAGCCCTTCACTACCATCTTTGGGAATTCATTTTTGCCTTACTCAGCTTATTTCTTTTTCCAGTATCGCCTGCTGTCTTCTTAGTTTATTCTGTCTTTCAGGGCAAATCAGAACCTTTAGTATCTTCCTGAGCTAGGCCTCCTAGGAGGTAAATATTGTGAATTAGCATATTTGAAATTGTCTTCACTCTAACCTTTCCTTGATCGATCGTTTGTTCATGTATTCAGTCCTACGCTGGAAATAGTTTCTCAGAGTCATAGACTCACTGTCTTCTGGATTTCACCATCACTGTGGAGAAGCTTCAAGTCTTTTTATTTTTATTTATTTTTTTGAGATGAGTCTTGCTCTGTCACCCAGGCTGGAGTGCAATGACACAATCTTGGCTTACTGTAACCTCTGCCTCCCAGGTTCAAGAGATTCTTTTTGCTTCAACCTCCTCTGTAGCTGGGACTTCAGGTGCATGCCACCACCCAACCCTAAATTTAATTAAAAAAATTTTTTTTTGAGACACAGTCTTGCTCTGTTGCCAGGTGCCAGGCTGGAGTGCAGTGGCATGATCTCAGCTCACTGCAACCTCTGCCTCCCGGGTTCAGGCAATTCTCCTGCCTCAGCCTCCCGAGTAGCTGGGACTACAGGTGTGCACCACCACACTCAGCTAATTTTTGTATTTTTTAGTAGGAATGGGGTTCCATCATATTGGCCAGGATCATCTCAATCTCTTGACCTCCTGATTCTGCCTGCCTCAGCCTCCCAAAGTGCTGGGATTACAGGCATGAGCCACTGCGCCCAGCCAATTTCTATATTTTTTAGTAGAGATGACATTTCACAGTGTTGACCAGGCTGGTCTTAAGCTCCTGACCTCAAGCGATCCTCCTGCCTCAGCTTCCCAAAGTGCTGGGATTACAGGCATAAGCCACCGTGCCTGGCTCTGAAGTCATTCTTGATCCTTTGGATATGACTGTGTCTTTCTCTCTGGAAGCTGGCAGTTCCTCAGTCCTCAGTATTCTGAAATTTCTCCACAATGCTCTGTTGTGTGGATCTATAATTGTGAGCTTGCTTAGTCTGTTAATGTATGTCTTAGATACATTTGAGGGTATTCTATGATTTCTTCCTTTTTTTTTTTCCTTTTGAGACCTTCTTTGTTTGGGTGTCGGCCTTCCTCAGCTGGTTCTCTGCCGTTCTCACCTTTTCTTCCTATTTTCCATCTCTTGGTCTTTCTGCTCTATCTTCTAGAAGACTTTCTCCACTTTTTCCTGGACTTTTTCTGCCTTTGTGTTTACAACTTCAACGATGCTATCTTATTTTGTCTGTTTTCTGAGTATTATTTTTCATATCACCTAAGTTTTTGTTTTTTGAAGTTTCCTTCTTCCTGAAGAATCTCTGTCAATGTCAAGCTCATAATTTCACAATTTTTAGCCTGGTGTGAATCAGTGGTCAGAGTTTTATTTTTCTCTGTGTAATAGGTTTACCAAAATATCTACCAAAGAATGCATAACGTCATCATTCACACGTGGAACCATCTTTATCATGTATATTTCCTCTCTGACTCCCTAGCTTGCCTCCTGCAAGTGGCCTCACCTTCCCCTTAGATCTGATGCTGGTCCTGCTCAACTGCTGACAGGGTTCTCCTGCTCACCTGTGATTTGTGCTGTACCTCTAGCACCTTTGTCTAAAAATGCTGTCTGCTCCCCCAGCACCGAATGACACCACTGCTATCCTTAATGGATTGCTTCTCCAAAGAGAATTATGCAGAAAAAGGCATCTCTATTTTCTGACAATCCTTGAGAAGTCAGAAAAAATACCAAGTTATGACATTATGGGTAGACATCCTACTTTGCTACCAGATTCTTAGTTAAGAGATTGCATAACATAAGTAGGAATTCTGAAGTTCTCTGCATTATTTTTTCCAGGACTCTTATATTGGATTAATAACCAGGTGAAGGTTCAGAATATTCTGAAGACATCTAGGAATCAGTGTCTCAGTGTTTTCTTCCAATGGCCGCTTGACCCTGGTGTTTCCTGACAACTAACTTGACTTGCCAAGGAGATAATTGCCCCATAACAATAGGGAGATACTAATGATGCCTATGATATGAAAGACATGAATTAAACCACAAGTTATGGTGGTGTCAGTAGTGACAGCTTTGTACCTGGCACATCACTTGCTGTTATCAAGCAAAAGGAACTCACTGCCTGATGCACTAGAAGCCAGTACTGTAACACTGTGTTTTTGATTAAAGTAAAGCTTTTTATCACAAGTAGACTTACAAGCAGACAGCAGTCGAGCTCAAATCTGTCTCCTGCTGGCTTCAAGGTATTATTTTTATTTAAAAAGGTTCAAAGGGTGGATTCTGAGATTAGCAGGTGATTGGTGGAAGGAAAGGGAAGGTCTGGAAAGACCTTGGGCATGTCCAGTTATCTTTTCATGCTACCTTGTGGGTTGCATATGCAAATTCAGGAGGAGTTCATATGAAACATGCAGTGGAAATTCAGGCTGTTACTTCGGCAACCTTGCTCTGCACAGACTTCAGTTGGCCATTTTAGTCCCAGCCGATTTCAGCCATTTTTTTCTTGATCTCACAAGTGGATGAGTTTCAGTGTTTCTATAAGTTGTTTCCTTTTTTTTTCTTTTCTTTTTTTTGAGACAGAGTCTTTTGCTCTGTCACCCAGGCTGGAGTACAGTGGTGCAATCTCGGCTTACTGCAGCCTCCACCTTCCTGGTTCAAGTGATTCTCCTGCCTCAGCCTCCCGAGTAGCTGGAATTATAGGTGTGCATCACCACACCTGGCTAGTTTTTGTATTTTCAGTAGAAACGGGGTTTCCCCATGTTGGCCAGGCTTGTCTTGAACTCCTGACCTCAGGTGATCCACTCACCTCAGCCTCCCAAAGTGCTGAGATTGCAGGCGTGAGCCTCTGTACCCAGCCAAGTTGGTTTTTTTGTTGTTGTTGTTGCTGTTGTTATCGGCTATCCTGTAGGCTTAAGAATTTAGTCACTGTTTCTTTAATTCTTTGGGGCATGGTTTCACTACTGTTGTTGCATTGCAGCCTGTGAAGTGTGGATATATTTTAATAGTAGCTAATGTGTATTGATTTCTGTGTACCAAGGGTCTTACATACATCACACTAAATATTAACAAAGTCCTGAACAGATAACCGTATTTTCGAGATGACAAACCTGAGACTCACAGAGCTCAAATACTATGCAAAAGGAATGAAGATTCAAACCCTGATCATAACTTCAAAGCACATTATTAGACACTGATCATTACACACTGTATACATGTATTAAAATACCACATGTACCGCCAAAATATGATAAACAACCATGATATATATAATAAAGATCTATATATACACATATATCACAGTTGTATATGTATCATACATAGATACATATCTATATATAGTTACGTATGTATCATATACATATATATTATGGTGGTTTATATATAATATTTTGCGGGGTACATGTGATATTTTCATGCAAGTATTCATGCAGTTACTCTCAGCTGATTCAGAAATTCACATATTCTCAAACAACCTGATTCCAAGATCAGGTATACAACAGAATGCATGTATACAATGTATAATTATCAAATCAGGGTTATTGGGATGTTCATTACCTCAACTCTTAATCTTTTCATTGTGTTAACATTACAGTTCTTCTCTTCCAGCTATTTTGAAATATTTAATCAATTATCATTAACTGTAGTCACACTATTTTACTATGAAACACTAGAGAGCACTTCTTCTAACTATATGTTTGTACCAGTGAACCAACTTCTCCTTATGCCCTGCCTCCCTTTCCCAGCCTCTGGCAACCACCATTATATTCTCTACCTCCATAAGATCTACTTGTTTAGCTCCCACATATCAGGGAGAATGTGTGATATTTGTCTTTCTGTGCCTGGCTTATTTTTCACTTAATGTAATGACCTCCAGCTCCATCCATGCTACTGCAAATGACAGGACTTCATTGTTACATATGGCTGAATGGTTTTGCATTGCGTTTTATGCATATTTTCTTTATCCCTTCATCTGCTGATGGACTCTCAGGTTGATTCCATATGTTGGCTGTTGTGAGTAGTGCTGCAATGAACACAGGAGTGCAAACAGCTCTTTGGTATACTGATCCACATCATTTCTTACTGAAACAAACACTGGAAAGGGTGAATGATTCCAAGGCTCACTACCTTTGAAATCATCCCGGGGTTGTTTCATGAATGTGTCACGTTTTCCTGGCAGGTCATTGTGCAGCGCTGCCTGTGTGGCAAGGACATGTCTCATGTGAAGGCTGCTTGTATCGTGTGCGCTTACCTGAAGCTGCTGCCCTTGTTCCTCATGGTGATGCCAGGGATGATCAGCCGCATTCTGTACACAGGTGAGCCCTGAATCTGTATATTCTCTCTTTTTTATGCTTGAATTCTGAGAAGTCTTTTTAAAATGTCATAGAACATTGAGAAAATCCATTCTGGATGGGAGGAAAAGCAGAATTCCAGGTGAAGGGAACAGCTTTCTTAGCAGCTGGAGGCAGGACAATTTGGCACACTGGACATTCTATTCCTTTATTCTTTTCATACCGTCTGCCTGTCTGGTAGACATGTGAGTCTATGAGTTCTGTTTTCATGAGATGCTTAGATTTAAGGAAGCCCAGCGAATATGGCAAAACGACACTGCAGGATGAGGTAGAACTGGGTTAATTTGAGTCAAGTGAGTTGTACTGGCTGAATCTGGTGACATCTCTGATGTCTTTGTCTTTCTGAGAAAACTGGAGAACTGAATCAATTTTCACTGCTTTGGAATCAGGTTGAGGATATGTAAATTTCTGACTCAGCTGAGAATAACCGCTAGTGTTGAAAATCTTCCTTTAAAAAATTCAACTTCCTTTTTTTTATTATGAAAACTAAGGAAATATAACCAAATCTTTCTTGGCTAATCGAGGACTCATTTTTATTGGGGTAATCCATCAGATAATACTGAATCCACTTCATGTTTTCTGAACTAGACATCAGTTGCTTTCCCTGAAATCTTGTCAAGTGAACATCACCTCTTATCGCAGCTTTGTAATGTTTATGAGTAAAGAATGCTCTCACCTGGCTGAGGTGTGAGCATTCTTTTTTATTTTTTAAATTTTTTTTACTGCATTTTAGGTTTTGGGGTACATGTGAAGAACATGCAAGACTGTTGCATTGGTACACACACGGCAGTGTGATTTGCTGCCTTCCTCCCCGCCATCACCTGTATCTGGCATTTCTCCCCATGCTCTCCTCTCCCCAACTCCCCACACGCTGCTGTCCCTCCCCTATTTCTCCGACAGACCCCAGTGTGTGATGCTCCCCTCCCTGTGTCCATGTGTTCTCATTGTTCAACACTTGCCTATGAGTGAGAACATGCAGTGTTTGATTTTCTGTTCTTGTGTCAGTTTGCTGAGAATGATGGTTTCCAGGTTCATCTATGTCCCTACAAAGGACATGAACTCAGCATTTTTGATGGCTGCATAGTATTTCATGGTGTATATGTGCCACATTTTCCCTGTCCAGTCTATCATTGATGGGCATTTGGGTTGGCTCCTCTTTACTCTTATAAACATAGGCTGAGGCAGGAGAATCGCTTGAGGCCAGGATTTTGAGACTAGCTTGAGCAATACAGCAAGATCCCATCTCTAAAAAAATAAAAATAAAAAATAAAATATCTAAGCATAGTGATGTGTTCCTGTAGTCCTAGCTGTTTGGGAGGCTGAGGCAGGAGGATTGCTTGAGCCCAGGAGTTCAAGGCTACAGTGAACTATGATTGCACCATTTCACTACAGCTTGGGTGACAGAGCAAGACCCCATCTCTTAAAAAAGTCTAAGTATCTCATTAGTGGGGAATGGCCAAAGAAATTTTACCGTGCACCTCCGTTATGGAAACAGGAGACTGAAGAGTATCTCAAAACTTGGGAAAATACTGAGGTTATGATATTAAATATAAAAAGAAACTTGCAAAATAATGTCTCAACAACTACAATAGTTATACAAAAAAGATATTTCTCTATGGAAAAGGATTAGGAAGGAATGAAAAGAAGCTACCATGCTGAGATGTTACTATTCTGGGTGATTCTTTATCAATTCTTCCTGTCTGTTGTCGTAATGTTGTTTAAGCAAAAATAAAAAATCATCAAGGTATTGTGCAACTGCCACAGAGGTGAGGCATCAACACACATGGTACAGTCACCCAACTGACTGTCACAAGCGATGCCTCTTCTTAGATGCAGGTGAAAGATACTAGGCTAAATGTGACTGCACACAGGACCTAACTTCCTGTTGTTGCCAATCTCTAGAGTTGTGTGTTTCTGTAAGAATTTCTTCTTTTGCTGTTTTCCCGGAGGTTGGAGTCCACTCCCTCTCTTTGCTCAACTGCTCTTGCTAGGCCACATTCCAAGGGGGCCCCTGTCCCATGGGTCAGTGCAAGAGGCTACAGGGATGAGATACTTAGGGTTGTGTTCTATAGAGGTACCGGATCTATGGTATGGAGTTCAAAGTTGAATCTCCAGTTTCCAGGCAAATGTCTTTTCTTCCTTATGATCTTATAACTTTTATTGGTTGTGCCTATTTGGGTCTCACTGGACTTGCTTCTGAATCCCTTCCTCAGATAAGGTAGCATGTGTGGTACCTTCCGAATGCGTGAAATACTGTGGTGTTGAGGTCGGCTGCACTAACTACGCATACGCAACAATGGTGCTGGAACTGATGCCCCAAGGTAGGAAAATGTCCCTTCTGGGACAGCCCCGAGGAAGGGTTGTGGTACAATTCTTCCACTTTCCATTAATTCAGTCCAACTCATCAGACTCTTTCTTGAGCACCTTCCATAGGCTACCAGCCCTGCGCTAGGCCTGAAAATTTCAGAGATGAAACAGGTACAATTACTGTTATAAAAATTCTTACTCCTTCAGATTCAAGATTGTCTTCTGAGGCAACAAAGAACAGTTAAATAATCCATTTGTCAATAAAAGAATTGCCTAAGTCATAAACTTATAAACACAAGGCCTAGAGGTAAACTATTTATCCTGCTTTTTCGGGGGCTAGTGATAATCAAATAATAGATCTCAATCTATAACCTGCAACTATTGATTGAGTGCCTATTAAGTGCCAGGAAATGCTTTGGTGCTAATAAAACATTAGTGGAGTAGGCACAAAGTCCCCTGCCTCTTGGAACTCACAATCTACTAGTGTGAGATAGAAAACAAATCACACATATGCAATATGCAAATAATTAGGATGCCAGAAGGTGATCATTGCTATGGTGAACAGAAATGGAACAGGGTACAGAGCTCAGGACTTGACCAGGTGGTCTCGTACCTTAGGCTCATCAAGAGCTGGCTACGCTTCTGCTACCTTCCTCAACCATGACACATGGGAGGGAGGGAGGGAGGGACCAGGGCCCACAAGCATGATACCACATACTCCCCATTTACACTCTGTCCTGGGAGGCTTAGGGCCATTACTGATGGGCAGAGGGAACTGGAGGATGAAGTTCCCATCATGGCTGAAAACTCTTGGCTTCGCCACTCCGAAGACTTCTTTAGCAAAACCACCTACTGGATTTCTTCCTCTCCAGTTCTCTTAAGTTTTCAGGAGGCCAAGATTCCCTACCCTAAGAAAGATGGTGTGATGTTGATTCTTCTCTTCTAAAACTAGGTTCCAGAAGATGATCTCTAAGTTCACATTTGGGACTAAAATTATTTTTGCTTCGATCCATCCCCTCAAGCATTTATTTTTTGAGTTGCAAACGATTCAATTACACTCTTTATTTTAGAATGTACAATCAAGTTATTATTGATTATAGTCACCCAGTTGTGCTATCAAATAGCAGGTCTTACTCTCTTTTATTTGTACCCATTAACCATCCCCACTGCCACCTCTAGTCTCCCACTACCCTTCCCAGCCTCTAGTAACTATCCTTCTACTCTCTATATCCACGAGTTTGTTTTTGATTTTTAGATGGCATAAGTAAATGAGAACATATAATGTTTGTCTTTCTGTGCCTGACTTAATTATACTGGATTATTCTCAGGTAACCAGGAAACATGCAGGAAACTCCACATGCTGATGAGTATTGAGAAGGACATCAGTTAACCTATGTTCCAGATGATGCTTTTATCTTTGAACACTCTCTGGTTTAGCAAGGCAGTGTCCAGCTGCTAACCGGTGCTTGTACTCTCTCCTGGCTCCAGGACTGCGAGGCCTGATGCTTTCAGTCATGCTGGCCTCTCTCATGAGCTCCCTGACCTCCATCTTCAACAGCGCCAGCACCCTCTTCACCATTGACCTCTACACCAAGGTGCGGAAGCAAGCATCAGAGAAAGAGCTCCTGATAGTTGGACGGTGAGTGAACCCTGGTTCCCATCTAGAATCCTCTGAAGAAGTATGCAGAAGTAAGCTAGAGTTCCCTTGCCTTTGGTGAAAGTAATCATAGTGTCTTGGGGAGAAGAGACATTGGAGTACACTGAATTCAAGTGAGCACTTTCCAGACACGAAAATCTGGACCATTCCTTTAAATGAAATAATTAATTTTTCAGTCTTTCAAATGCTTTTCATGGGTCCTTATTTCTTCCCCGCCTGACATAACCCCCGATCAACATCTTCAAAAAACCCCACCAGTGTTTTAATGGGGTGTAAAATTCCCACCTACTCTGAAAGGTAAATGCACTGTCTCTACCAGTTTAAATGAAATGATCATTCCTTTAAATGAAATAATTTTTCAGTCTTTCAAATGCTTTTCATGGGCCCTTATTTCTTCCTCTCCTCACATGACCCCCTGAATCAACATCTTCACAAAACTCCACCAGTGTTTTAATGGGTTGTAAAATTCCCACCTACTCTGATAGGTAAACGCATTGTCTCTAGCAGTTTCCATGTATATCACATGGAGGTCATGGATTACGTCCTCCACACATGAACAAAGAGGAGTTTATCAGTCGCATTCATTAACGACTGGGCTGTGTTACAAAGGAACAGGGAAGGAACTCATTCCAAGAGGATACTTAAGAGAGTTAAGTCAAACCAAGGGATCCTGAGCAGCCTGGGGGCCTTGAAGACAGTGGCAGTTAGATGGAAGAAAACAAGAGGAAAAATGGGTACCAGAGTCTCCTTTTTCCTTTTCACAATTTTCGGGTAGACCCTATATTGTTATAGCATTTTTTTGTTTTTTGAGACAAAGTTTCACTCTTGTTGCCCAGGCTGGAGTGCAATGGCTTGCTCCCAGCTCACTGCAACCTCCACCTCCCAGGTTCAAGTGAATCTCCTGCCTCAGCCTCCTGAGTAACTGGGATTACAGACGCCTGCCACCACACCTAGCTAATTTTTTTGCATTTTTAGTAAAGACAGGGTTTCACCATGTTGGCCAGGCTGGTTTCAAATTCTTGACCTTAGGTGATCCATCCACCTTGGCCTCCCAAAGTTTACAGGCATGAGCCACCACACCTGGCCCACCATAGCATTTTGTAAAATGTTCTTAAAAATCAAAGTACAGCATACATACAGAAAACAGTTAACACATGGATGCACAGCTCAGAGAGGTGTTACAAAATGAGGACTCATGTAACCATCAATCAAGTCAAGACATGAAAATTACTAGCACCCAGAAGTTCCTCCTGGGCCACATCAATTTAAAGCTAAGTACTGTGACTGGTGATGCTATAGTTTAGTCTTTTCCAACTTCAGGCTATTATATATAGAATAAGTCAATCTGTATCCCTTGAAAGAGGCGTTCCCAAACTTTTTACACAGGGGGCCAGTTCACTGGCCCTCAGACCGTTGGAGGGCCGCCACATACTGTGCTCCTCTCACTGACCACCAATGAAAGAGGTGCCCCTTCCTGAAGTGCGGCGGGGGGCCAGATTAATGGCCTCAGGGGGCCGCATGCGGCCTGCAGGCCATAGTTTGGGGACACCTGCCTTGAAATATGGTTTGCTTTTTTTTTTTTTTTTTGGATGCAGTCTTGCTCTGTTGCCAGGCTGGAGTGCAGTGGCACAATCTCGGCTTACTGCAACCCCTGCCTCCTGGGTTCAAGCGATTCTCCTGCCTCAGCCTCCCCAATAGCTGGGATTACGGGCATGCGCCACCACACCCAGCTAATTTTTGTATTTTTAGTAGAGAGGGGGTTTCACCATGTTTGCCAGGATGGTTTCGATCTCTTAATCTCGTGGTCCGCCCTGCCTCAGCCTCCCGAAGTGCTGGGATTATAGGCGTGAGCCACCACAGTTGACCAAAATATGGCTTCTTTTGCTCAAGTTATGTTTGCAACATTCAGCCGTGTTGCTATGTGTAGCTGTAGTGTAATCATTTTATTTCTCTGTGGTGTTCCACTGTAGTAAGGTATCAGAATGTGTCTAAAGAAACTGACATCAAGAGAAGCTGACCAACTATTTAAAAGAATGTGCTTTGTTGGTGACAGTAACAATAGCTTTAGTAAATTAAACACTTGGGGAAAAACCCAAGGGCCTCACTTAGCCCAGAGCTTGACTCTGGACCAACGCTGCAGGAGAGGGCGTACAGGAAGGCAGGAGTGTACCCGCAGTAGAAAAAGTACTGGTTGGTGTTCAGGAGGCCCAAGATGCAGTCGTGCCACTGATAGGTATATGGTCTTGGACACACGTCCTCCTTAAATGATAAAGTAATGACTTTTCCATAAAAAACATGTATGTTTTTAAAATTCCTGCCTCATGGAATGTACCTTTGTAAGGAAGATGGACAATTAATAAAGGTATGCCACCTCAGGTGACCAGAAATGACAGAAAGACAATTAGAGCAGGAAGAAAGGACTGAAGCAACCAAATCCAGGTAATCAGGGAGTCCTCTCTGGGGAGGTGGCATTTGAGCAGAGCCTGCAGGAAGTGTGGGAGGGAGGCCCATAGTGCTCTGGGGAAGGAACAGTGAGGGCTGCATCCCTCCCATAGTAATGTTTGTGATATGTCTGAGGACAACCAGGAGTGAGGTCCGTCCATAAGAAGCCAACAGGAGAGTACAGAACAGGGTCAGAGGTGCCTGGAGGCAAGGGGAGGTCATGCAGGACCATTTAAGTCATAAAGAGACTTCGAATTTTATTCTATATGTGATAGGAAACAACTGGAACTGGGTGCGTTGGGGAGCATGTGATTTGCTTTTCCAATGGCAATAAAAACTAACAAGAGTAAGTGTAATTTATCGAATCCTTACTATGGTTTAGGCATTATGCTAAGACTTCCCATGTTTTATTACATCCAGTTGTTGCAAGGATGAATGATTTTGTACTATTTAAATGAGACATTTGTGTTTCAGACTCATTTAAGTGAGACATTTGGGCGTCAGAACTCCTTCATCCCACAACTGCTTCTCTGTTTCGTGTGAGCAGCAAGAGACCAATGGCCCTTTAGGCACAGTCTACTAAATTATGTTGGTTCATTTATTCACACAACAGGCACAGACAACCCTGGAATTTAGAAAGGTGAAGAAGTCATGCTCTCTGGACAACAGGAGCCTTTAATACGCTTTTTACCTGCTGTAGTACTCAAGCAGCAAAATGTACAAGTTAGCATTTGTTGCCAATTCACTCAGCATTCTGAGATAGACTATGCAAACCAACTTTGCTCCCTGCAAGCTAGGAAAGGAACAGCAATGGAAGTCTGCTTTATCATACAAATAATTGCTGGTTAATAGAAATAGTGTGGTATTTATTTCTGATTGATATACTACATGTGGTACATTGGAGTCATTAATCACTTGCTGATATTTTAACTACTTTATGAATAGATATTTAATCTCATAGGTGATGCTATTATGATTAATTATAGATAAGTAATTGCTTTATTGGCATTTTACTAAAAGATCACCATTAAGCACAGCATGGGTTTATGTACGGTGAAGGACCTTGATTTTGTTTGGAAAATCAATGAAGGGCAATAAGAGTGAACTCTAGAGCTAAAGCACAATGAAAGTGCACATAATGCTTTTGTTTAATGTTTAAATTACGTTGTTTTCTTCCCAGGCTATTCCTTCTTCTGTTAAGTGTTGTGAGCATTGTGTGGGTCCCACTGGTACAAGTATCTCAAAACGGACAACTAATCCATTACACAGAATCAATTTCTAGCTACCTTGGGCCTCCAGTTGCAGCTGTCTATGTGCTTGCCATCTTCTGTAAAAGAGTCAATGAACAGGTAAGTGAACACCGAAAAAATTTTCCCTGCTGGAGTGAGAAAAAAATTGTTTCTCTGGGGTATCAAAATACATTCTTTCTACCCTATTTATACAAGTCATGACCCATCTTAATTTCAGTTGAGATCAGCCACAATTCCTGATCCTTACTAAAATATAAGAATAGGGCACACATTCATAGTACAGTCTTTTTATGTTTCTTACAAAATATTATATACACACATGGTGCAGAATTGAGGAACATGTTTGGGAGACAGACTGCAAGGGCCCAATCATGGTTATACCACCTGATAGTATTGTAATCATAAGCAAATTACTTGAATTGAGACTCAAATTACTTGAGTCTCCCTAAAATGAAGATAATGATAGCACCTATCCTGTTAGATTGTTGTGAGGATTAAGTGAAATAAAATATGTTAAATTCTCAGAAGAAAACCTACCACACTAGTAAGAATTCAAAATGTGTTCACTGCTATTGTGATATATGTAATTAATTGATTATTGTGGATCATGTACCCTTAATCTTTTCATTGTTCCTTAGTACTAGCCTTACTATTATGATTTTTAGATGAGGAAAAGGTGAAGAGGGATTAGTATCTATGTGTTTTACACATGTTACTTAGTGGGATCTTGGGATTCAGGCTTAGATTTTCCTCCATACAAAGCTCATACCATTAATCTCCCTGCAGTACTGCTTTTCTAAAGCATAACATCCTGAACAGAGGAACAGGGACACATGTTTCCATCCACATCAACTTCTTACAGAAATATTATCAAGCACTTCATAGAACTCTCAAAACTACCTAATATCAGCTTTGGAAACTGTGTAACATAATTGATCCTTCTTATTTTATCAAATAAATCACAAGTGTTTTGATCTAACTATAAAACAAAAGACAAGGAAAACTTCAGCTTGGGTCAGTGTAGACTGTAGTGTCCTGGTATTGGGGAATCAACAATGGTGCAGTGGTATGTGCCGTTCAGGACCATGGAAAGCAGCATCCAACTAGGTAGCATGTGTATTTGCAACTTTCTCGACTTTGGTAACCTTGTGCCCAAGGTTAGCCATTTGCTGGTCCTTAGCTGAGAAAGCAGGCAGGACTATAATTATGACTTACTTGAATGAGCTTCTCATAGTTTCTAAACACTCTGATTTTCTTCTTGCTTCTTTTGCAGGGAGCATTCTGGGGTCTAATGGTTGGACTTGTGATGGGCCTCATTCGTATGATCACAGAATTTGCTTATGGAACAGGGAGTTGCTTGGCTGCCAGTAACTGTCCCAAGATTATCTGTGGAGTGCACTACCTGTACTTTTCCATCATTCTCTTCTTTGGGTCCATGCTGGTCATTCTGGGAATTTCCCTCTTAACAAAACCCATTCCTGATGTACATGTGAGTGACGAGTAATGGATATAAGCTCATTTTAAGAGTTCTGGCTAGACACGGTGGCTTGCACCTGTAATCCCACACTTTGGGAGGCTGAGGCGGGCAGATCACAAGCTCAGGAGTCCAAGACCAGCCTGTCCAACATGATGAAGACTTGTCTCTAAAGATACAAAAAATTATTCAGGCATGGTGGCGTATGTCTGTAATCCCAGCTACTCGGGAGACCAAGGCAGGAGAATCACTTGAACCCAGGAGGTGGAGGTTGCAGTGAGCTGAGATTGCACCATTGCACTCCAGCCTGGGCAACAGGGCAAGACTCCGCCTCAAATAATAACAATAATAATAATAATGAGTTCTTTGCCTTTTATTTTATGAGTGTATGAGTTCCAGGAAATGTTTTCGTTGCACCTCTAGAACTAGATGAACCCTAAGAGATTATCATTCTGTCATTTAAATAAAGAACAATTTGCACCTAGTATGTGCAAAGCACCAGTGAATTAAACAGAAATTAGACAATGGACACTATATTTTGTAAACTTTACAGTGTAGTTGGGAAGTAAATCTACGATATTGTCATAGGACACTAGGAAGAGAATAATTAGTGTTTCCTAAGATACGGGGAAAGACTTCACAGCACAGCTGTCATCTGGGCTGTGCCTGTTTGGGCCAATGGGATTTCATATACAGCATGAACACTGATTAGCACAGAGATGGAGGGAAAGTACATGGCACCAGGGAGCAGGAAAAGAAAGGACAGATAATGAGATGCACTTCTGCCTTTCACCTTGGCAAAAATGTTTAATGTGAATATTTAATGTTGTTAGAGCTTAACATTAATGTTGTGGGAAAATTCCCACAGTCCACAACTGTTGGAGAGTACATAGATTTTATAATTTATAGTAGAGCAATTGGGCAGTATTTATCCATTTTTAAATTATTATACCTTATGAATCAACAATCCCAGTTTTAGGAGCTTATTGTATACAAATACTTGTGCAAGTAGGAAAAATATGTGTATAAGGATTTTCTCTGCAGAAGTTTTCAAACAGGAAATAACTGGGAGAAAATCCAAATTTCATCATGAAGGGAATGAGTACATAATCACAATCAATTGAATGTTGTGCAACTGTTTAGAAACACGAGGGAGCTCTACTATTTGCCTTGAAAAAAATGTTCATAATATGGTTAAGTGGAAAAAAATATGCATAATAATAACGAATATTAGCACTTTCTGAAATAAAACACATGTAGGCATATACATGTTTGTCGAAGCATAGAAAAAAAAAATCTTAGAGCATACTCACCTAAGATTTTCAACAAGAGGCATCTCAGCGAGTGTGGAGCCACTATAGGGGCTCAGCAAATATTAATTATTTAAAAAATATAAATACTACTTATATGCTAATATTGTTTAAGTTGTTTGAATTTATGACTAAAGGTGTGTAGCTTTATGTATTTTGTAGTTATCACTCATAATTTTAGAAGCAATGCTTGTTTATATATTTTCTTGAGAAGTGGCCAGTGGATTATGTGTGGATGGGAAACCTGAAATACAGCACAGTTCAAAATGTTTCACCAAGGACACGTCACAGGAATTCCTAAATATTTACACTGAATATTGAGTCAGATGAAAGAACACTAGAAAACACAGCATAGTTTTAAAATAAATATATAGGTTAAATTCTTATTTGCCAATGGAAATAGCCAATTTCATTACTAATTTTTAGGAAACAAATATTGTCTGAAGGACCAATGAGACCATTTTGTAATTTATGTTTATGTTTCATTAACATGCTGTAAGGTGTAACTTTCAGAATGGACTGGTAAATATCATGGTTATTTCAGAAAAAGTCATGAAGAGTGTTGTGAACCTAGCCTAAAAGTGCAGAAATGAGATATCCCAGGATGATAGTCTTTAAGCAAAACTAGAAATTACTCAATGCAAGTTAAACAGAAATTGAAAGACTTCCAAGAATAGAGTTTTTAACAAAGAAAGTGGATCTAATACAAGAAATCCTTTGAATAAGAGCTTATGAAGATATGATTAGGAATCTTAGTGAGGAGGTGAAGGCACATGTTATGTCAATAAAACCAATTACAAATTCTGGTAAATTTGTACAAGAAAGTCACGAGCCAAATTAAAGTGAGGCATAAATTAGAATGATATTCTAAATGTTTAAAACCCATTGAACAGGCCAGGTGCAGTGGCTCACACCAGTCATCCCAGCACTTTGGGAGGCTGAGGCTGGTGGATCACCTGAGGTCAGGAGTTCGAGACCAGCCTGGCCAACACAGTGAAACCCTGACTCTACTAGAAATAAAAAATTAGCCGGGTGTGGTGGCAGTCACCTGTAATCCCATCTGCTTGGGAGGCTGAGGCAGGAGAATTGCTTGAGCCCAGGAGGCGGAGGTTGCAGTGAGCTGAGATCACACCATTGCACTCCAGCTGGGCAACAAGATAGAAACTCCGTTTCAAAAAAGAGACTTGCAGCAATTTCCTTAGAATGACCCAGGGCTGGTATTTACTTGTGTCCAATCGTTACATACAGCATCAATTCAATTTTCAAAAATTTTGAGACAAGAGTCTTGCTCTGTCGCCAGGCGCCAGGCTGGAGTGCAGTGGTCTGATCTCGGCTCACTGCAACCTCCACCTCCCAAGTTCAAGCAATTCTCCTGCCTCAGCCTTCTGAGCAGCTGGGACTACAGGTGCATACCACCACACCCAGCTAATTTTTGTATTTCAGTGGAGACGGTGTTTCACTATGTTGGCCAGGATGGTCTTAGTCTCTTGACCTCGTGATCTGCCTGCCTCAGCCTCCCAAAGTGCTGGGATTACAGGCATGAGTCACCACGCCTGGCCTATTTTCAAATTTTTTAATCAACATATAGATTGGGCATGGAAATCTTAATATATTTACAGAAAATAATAAAATTTATATGAGCATAATAATTAAAAATAATGGTATAGCTGACAGAAGTTTGGAGGCGGGTTAGGAAAAGGGGCGTGTAGGGGTACTAATTCCATCTGGAATTCAAGAATAGTATATAGATACTAGCCAAATATGATTGATCCAGAAGAAGAACTTAAACAGATAGTTTGAAAGTCATAAAAGCAACCACTAGATAAACTGAAGGAAATAATGATGTAGCTAGTAACAGTTGGACGTTAAGGACAATGAATGAAGCTGGGGTATAGTATAGGTTTGCTAAATCTTCAATTTTGTTGAAATTACAAATCCAGAAGTAGGTATTTTTAAGTATATCATTTGAGGTTCTGAATAGCAACCAGAATAAAAAACAGAAATAATTTAAAATGGTTAGCGTGTTTTGGTGAGTGAGTGTGGTAGGCAGCCTTTTCTTTGTGATCTATATTCTCCTGTGTGTTTTGATTTTTTTAAAAACCAGACAATAGACAGAGATACCATTCCAGAATATTACTGCAAACATCTGCCTATTACTAATGTACTTTTGTATGGTTTCTGTTCAGCTGTACCGCCTGTGCTGGGCTCTTCGCAACAGTACAGAGGAACGAGTCGATATAGATGCAGAAGAGAAAAGTCAGAAAGAAACAGAGGATGGTGTTGATGAAGGTAGTATTTGGTTTACATTTGGTTTTCATGCAGGAACTCTGCACATGCTTAATGGTTTTCTTTTACTGTCATTAAATTTAGCTTCTGAAAAAGCTGTTAGATTTATGACAAACTGAAACTTTAAATTTTTACCGTTCTAACAACCAAAATAGCATATTAAATCCATCTATTCATCTGCCTCGCCATTGGTCTGTCTGTCCACCCATCATCTATCCATAGTTACTGAGATGACAATCAGTTACAAACTCACCTGTTCTAGTTACATTAAGTGTTCAATCTTGATTGGCCGTAACTAACCACCTTCTCTCCAACTTTATTTCTCAGTATTTTCTCTAACATACCCTCCATTCCAGGCAGGCAGGTTTCTTCACTTTTCCCCACATGCGCCAACCTTCCTAGAATATTTCTATCTCCTTTCCAAGAGAAGAAAAAATGCTTATTTTTAAAAACTAAGTTCTATTCTCACTTCCTTCATGAAAATTTCTCCATCATTCATCCTGATGACTCTGATTACCTAGTATTTTTAAACCACAGAGAAGGGTTAGCACTTCACAATACATTGTTTTAAACTAAACAATAATTCTTTTGTATGTTTTGGTTTGATTTCTTCAAAGCGAAGGAAGAGTCAGTGCCTTCTGTTCCTTCTGATTTTTTATATTAGCGTTCCCGAGTATGACTGATCTATCATTTTCTGGTTTTGTACTAAGTCTTTGGTTTTGGTATTAAGATCAGAATTATCACAGAATGAATCAGCAATTAGCCCATTTTTCAATTTCATGAAAATATTTCAATAAGATTGAAATAATGTTGCCATTGTATTTTGGTATTTTGCCAATAAGACCATTAGGGCGCTCTCTCTCTCTCTCTCTCTCTCTCTCTCTCTCTCTCTCTCTGTGTGTGTGTGTGTGTATGTGAGAGAGAGAGAGAGAGAGAGAGAGAGAGAGAGAGAGAGAGTGAGTATGGGGGGCATACTTCTTAATTATCAAATTTATAGAACTATTTAGAGTTTTCATTTCTTCATTAACTGGTTTTGGAAGATTATATATTATTCTACGATTGTGTCCATCTAGTGCACATTTTAAATATATTGGCATAAAGTTATTCATAGTGCTCACTTACCCATCTATGCTGCTTCTATAGTTGTGTTATCCTTTTAATCCCTAGTGTATTTTTGTGATTTCTCTTTTTTCTTAATAAATCTTACTAAAGATTTGTCTAGTTTACTTTTCTCAAAGAAGCAACTTCTGGCCGGGCGCGGTGGCTCAAGCCTGTAATCCCAGCACTTTGGGAGGCCAAGGCGGGTGGATCACGAGGTCAAGAGATCGAGACCATCCTGGTCAACACGGTGAAACCCCGTCTCTACTAAAAATACAAAAAATTAGCTGGGCATGGTGGTGTGTGCCTGTAATCCCAGCTACTCAGGAGGCTGAGGCAGGAGAATTGCTTGAACCCAGGAGGCGGAGGTTGCGGTGAGCCGAGATCGTGCCGTTGCACTCCAGCCTGGGTAACAAGAGCGAAACTCCGTCTCAAAAAAAAAAAAAAAAAAAAAAAAAAAAAAAGAAGCAACTTCTGACTTTGTCATTTCTCTCTATTCTTCTTTTCTATTTCATCCCTTCTGTTTTCATTTGTATTCCCTTCCATTTATATTATTTGGGTTTATTCTCTTAATTTATTAAGTTGGATATTAACTCATTCATTTCCAGGAAATCTGGAAATTTGATTTTTTTCTTTAATTGTTCTTTTCTAATATAAATAACTATGGCCACGCACATTTCCCTCAAAGTAATACTGTTTTGAATCTTGCAGCTTTTAATTTGTATAATTTTATCATTTTTTTTTTATTTTCTTTATTTTTTTTTGAGACGGAGTTTCACTTTTGTTACCCAGGCTGGAGTGCAATGGCGCGATCTCGGCTCACCGCAACCTCCGCCTCCTGGGTTCAGGCAATTCTCCTGCCTCAGCCTCCTGAGTAGCCGGGATGACAGGCACGCGCCACCATGCTCAGCTAATTTTTTGTTCTTTTATTAGAGATGGGGTTTCACCATGTTGACCAGGATGGTCTCGATCTCTTGACCTCGTGATCCCCCCGCCTCGGTCTCCCAGAGTGCTGGGATTACAGGCTTGAGCCACCGCGCCCGGCCCGTAATCATTTATTTTTAAGTATCTTTATAATTTTTATAAACATTTGATTTTAGGCGTATTAAATTTTCCAGCGCTGTAACAGATAGTGATATACATGAGTCTCCTTGTATTTTTGCCAGTATAAGTTGGGGAAAGATTTTGTGGAGTTTGGTTGATGGTAAAAGGGTTCATGCCTATACAATTTTGCAATACATTAATTCCCCTCCATAGGGAATTTGCTTTCCTAGCAACAATATAGAAGAGTGCCTGTTTCCAAGCAAACTCACTAATGTAATATGTTGTGAAACCTCTGAATTATTGCCACTGAGAGATAGTAGTAGAAGTTTAAATTTCTCTTTTTGATTGAGTTTGAGAACCATGTGTCTTTTTTCTTTCAACTGTTTATTCAGCTCTTTAATATGTTGACATGGGGTGTTGATAGCCTTTCTTATCTATTTTCAGAAACCCACTATATATTAGAGATAATTAACCAGGCATCCCCAAACTGCGGCCCCCTGAGGCCATTTATCCAGCCCCCCACCATACTTCAGGAAGGGGCACCTCTTTCATTGGTGGTCAGTGAGAGGAACACAGTATGTGGCGGCCCTCCAATGGTCTGAGGGACAGTGAACTGGTCCCCTGTGTAAAAAGTTTGGGGACGCCTATATTAAACCCTTTGTAATAGAATTTGCAAATGTTTCCCCCATTTTGTCATTTGTTTTTACTTTGCTTACTGAACTTTATGCCATAAAAATTTGCCTGTTTTACATAATTAAATTTATCTACATTTTCTCAGGGATTCTCCTAACACTCCCAGGTGATTGTAATAATTTTTTTACAGTCATCTGTACTACAATGACAAGGATTTCTAGTTCCTTTGAGATCTAGATCTTGTGTGATGATTTGCTTATCTTTGTTCCAGATTATCCTGAGCAATCACGTGGATGCCTCAAGAAGGCTTATGACTTGTTCTGTGGTTTGCAGAAGGGACCCAAGCTAACCAAGGAGGAGGAGGAAGCCCTGAACAAGAAGCTCACAGACACGTCTGAGAGGCCCTTGTGGAGGACAGTAGTAAATGTCAACGCCATCCTCCTTCTAGCTGTGGTGGTCTTTATTCACGGCTACTATGCCTGAACTCTATCCAAGCCACTGGAATAGTGAATAATTCTTAGTAATGAAGCAAAGGATAATTTTAGTGAAGCAAAGGATAATTTTCATTTTATAGTATGTGTGTGGCAAAAAAAAAAAAATGAGCAGTTGGTAATTTTATCCAACGAGATGACTACAGACTTGATATTTTGCTTTTGTTCTTCCTTTGTGTCATTACAAAGAGTTGATAATTTATAAAACTATAAAGTGACCCGTAAGTGTGTAAACAAGACACACAGGTCTAAATTTTATTTTTCCGGCTTTATCGAAGTATAGTTAACAAATGAAAATTGTTTATATTTAGGATGTACAACGTGATGATTTGATGTATGCATACATTCTGAAACAATAACCACAATTGAGTTAACTAACACATCTGTCACCTCACATGGTTACCTTTCCTGTTTGTGTGGTGAGAACTGACAGACTCTCAGCAACTTTCAAGCACACAATACAGTATTATTATCTGTAGTCACCATGCTGCCCTTTAGACCCTCAGAATATATTCATCGTATGAGTGAAAGTTTGTACTCTTTGACTAATACGTCTCTACTTACCCCACCCCTATACCCCAGGCAGCCATCATCTACCCTCTGCTTCTATGAGTTCCACTTTCCATTGCAGCACTATTCACAATAGCTAAAATACTGAAACAACCTTAGTGTGCTGTGATGGATGAACGATAATGAAAATGTGATATATATATATATATATATATATATATATATATATATATATATAAAATGGAATACTCTTCAGCCATAATAAAGAAGGAAATCCTGTCACTTGCAACAATGTGAATGAACCTGCAGGACATTACGCTAAGTGAAATGCTATAGGATCTCACATATATGTGAAGCCTTAAAAACAGAATGACCTGATTATTTGTTTTTAACCTGGTGTGCGGCAGGGGCAGAGCCCTCATGGAAAACCTCTGCTAGGACCGTGTGAAGGGGAAATGTGAGGTGGGAGCCCACACTGGGGCACTGCCTGGTGGAGGTGAGAAGAGGGCCACCATCCTCCAGAGCCCAGAATGGTAGATCCACCAACAGCTTGCATCGTGCACCTGGAAAAGCTTAAGACACTCAACACTAGCCCATGAAAGCAGCCAGGAGCGGGGCTGTACCCCACAAAAGCCACAGGAGCTACCCAAGACCATGGGAATCTACCTCTTGCATCAGTGTGACCTGGATCTGAGACATGGAGTCAAAGAAGATCGTTTTGGAACCTCAAGGTTTAATGACTGCCCTGCTGAATTTCAGACTTGCGTGGGGCCTGTAGTTCCTTTATTTTGGCCAATTTGTCTCGTTTGGAATGGGTATATTTACCCATTGCCTGTTCTCCCATTGTATCTAGAAAGTAACTAATTTGCTTTTGATTTTACAGGCTCATAGGCAGAAGGGACTTGCCTCATCTCAGATGAGACTTTGGATTTGGACTTTTGAGATAATGCTGGAATGTGTTCTTTGCGGGACTGTTGGAAGGGCATGTTTCTAAATGTGAGGATGTGAGATTTGGGAGGGCCCAGGTGTGGAATTATACGGTTTGGCTGTATCCCCACCCAAATCTCATTTTGAATCGTAGTTCCATAATTGCCATTTTTTGAGGGAGAGACCCAGTGGGAAGTAATTGAATCATGGGAGCAGTGTTCTCATGATACTGAGGTATCATGGGATCTGATCTTTTTTTTCCTTAGACGAAGTGTTGCTCTGTTGCTCAGGCTGGAGTGCAATGGCGCACTCTTAGCTCACCACAACTTCCACCTCCCAGGTTCAAGTGATTCTCCTGCCTCAGCCTCCTGAGTAGCAGGCACCTGCCACCACGCCTGGCTAATTTTTATATTTTTAGTAGAGACAAGGTTTCACCATGTTGGTCACGCTGGTCTTGAACTGCTGACCTTGTTGTGATCTGCCCGCCTTGGCCTCCCAAAGTGCTGGGATTATAGGCGTGAGCCACCCCACCCGGCCGGGATCAGGTGGTTTTAATAAGGGGCTTCCCCCCCACCACCTTCACTCTGCACTTTTCCTTGCTGCTGCCTGTGAAAAAGGATGTATTTGTTTCCCTTTCCACCATAATTGTTTCTTTTTTGAGGCCTTCCCAGCCATGCTGAACTGTGAGTCAATTAAACCTATTTCCTTTATAAATTATACAGTCTTGGGTATGTCTTTATTAGCAGTGTGAGAACAGGCTAATACACCAGGCAAATTGCCCTACCACATACTTGCTTTCTGAAGTTTCCAGAAATTTCCATTTGAAAAGAATGCCTCTTCCAACTCTGCCTCACCTAGTAACCTCCTCATCTACACAACAGTGACTTTTCCTATGAAGCAACCTCCACCTCAGTGTGTGTCCTTGGAATACACAATGTCCTCATAGAGAGGACACAAAAATTACTAATCATAGGAGAAAAAAGTAATATACTGGACTACATCAAAATCAAAAATTACTAGCTAGCAAAAGCCTACTTTAAGGAAATGACCAAACAACCCATAAAATAACAGAAATAACTTACAGTATGCACATCTCACAAAGGAGTTCTATCCAGAATAAAAAGAACAACAGCCCAATTTTAAAACGCGAAAGAGAAAAAAATAACATTTGGAGGAGAGCTTCAAGGTGGCTGACCAGAGGTACCTGACATTTGTTTCCTCCACAAAGAAGGAGCAAAACAGCAAATATGGTAGATAATCACACATCAAATAGGGCATCTAACAGAGAACACTGGCATTCAGCAGGGAAGTGACAGGAAACATCTGAGGTACAGAAGAGGAGAAAACCAAGACCAGATGGGCTCCCCCGTGCAGGGGAAAAGGTAAGTGAGAGATCCCCAGGAGTCCATGTTCCCACCACAGATTTCTGCAATCCTAGCCATGGGAGAACCCCTCAACCCTCGTGGGCCCTGAGACAGCACAGGGAGCTGCCTATACTTGTCCATGCAATGACACTGCTCCAGATACGGAGTTCATGCTAGTCCCACACGCACACTTGAGACCCAACCAGCTGCACACAGTGCCATTTTGAGAGCCCAGCCTCAGGAGGTCTGTCTCCTGCCGAGGGGCCCAACAGCCCTGAATCCCCACATCCCTAGAGCCTCAGTGACATCGCCCTATATCCACCTAGAGGGCTACAGCAGCATGACTCTGGCTAGACCAGCGGTGTGACCGGGTCTCCAGCACTCTAGGCTAATTTTGGATATGTATTGCAAAACAAATTTTAAACCTATAAACAAGCGATACTAAAATACACATAGAACCATACAAGATGCTGCAGAGCCAAAGCAGTTCCAGAAATAGAAATGCAGCTGGAGGCCTCACTCTTCCCAATCTCAAATTACACTGAAAAGCTATAGTTATCTCAATAATACAGGAGAGTCATAAAAACAGAACCATACGCTGATGGACACAATTAGGCAGCCAAGGAATGAAGCTGAATGTATAGTCAACACATTTCTCAAAAGAGCCCCCAAAACACAAAATGGGAGATGGCTAGGCCATCCAGTAAAGGATTCTGAGAAAACTAGAAATCCACATGACAAAAGAATGAAATAAACCCTTTGTGTTTCATGCTACACAAAAATCCCATTCAAAATTATTTCAAAATCAAAACAGGACCTTGCAAGTATGAAAATTCCATGAGAAAACTTACGGTGAGCATTACTTTTGGAAAATCTGAACCTATGCTCACAGGTGCAAATAGAAAGGAAGATGAAACAGAACAAAAACATTCACTGTCGCAGGAATCAATCAGAAATTAATTTTTCTCTTGATTGGACAAAACATGACTACCAACAGAAAGAAAACTAAACTTGTTGGAACACAAAAGACTGAGGAGCTTCTTCACAAGAATTTCTGTAACAGGGAGTAAAACAGCAGCTTCCTATGAACTGGGAGAAAATGATAGTGATCACATATCTGAGGTAGGTTCATAATGAATATTTACCAGAAACAAAGACTACTAAGTAAGAAAACACACACACACAAAACAAATAATCCAATCAAAATTGGGCAAAGAACCTTAAACGTCACTTTGGGTAAGGACAAATAAAACTGACTAACAGGTAAAAGAATCGGTTCTCCACATCCCTGGTTACCTAAAGCACCTCAAATAACACTGAAGCCCTACCTGTCACTATACAAAAATTAACTCAAGATGGATGAAAGATTTCAATGAAGACCTCAAACTACAAAAATCCTACAAGAAAACCTGGAAAATAACCTTCTCCATATGGGCTTTCCCGAAGTATTTATATGGCTGAGCCCCCAAAATCAATTACAAGAAACATGGAAACATGCAAGGTGGCCTAATAATCCACGGAGCTGGGGCACAGAAAGAAACTGCCAACACAGTAAACACACAGCCCACGTGATGGGAGAGAAAGTTCCCACACTACGCATCTGACCAATTTCTAATAGTTCAAATATGCAAGGATCTTCAGTTAGTCAAGACACAGAAAAATAATCCAATTTTTAAAAATGAGACCCCATTTCAAAAAAAAAAAAAAAGATGGAAAAACCCACAACAGAACAAACCCAAATAATGCAAATGGAAGGGAACACAAATGAAAACAGAAAGTAATGAAAGAGCTCTTCCTGCTGAGCTCTCCCTGAGGGACTGTGGCAGGAAAGTAGCCAACGGGCACGAAGCTGGATATGTCAAGCTGGCTGCCCAAGACATGACCCCCTGTGACCCCAGATTCCTTTCGTGGGAATGCTAATCTGAGGTCCCTGGGAATAAGGCCTCCTTCTGACCGCTGGTTGGGATAGCGCCCAAGCCTTGAGTGAAGCACCAGCTGTGGGCAGGGATCTTCTGATTAATCGGCTTCCCTGATGTCAGTTTCCAGAAGCTGCGAGCACTTTCCCAGGGGCCTCAAACTGCTGGGGCTCATCACATCAACTGACGGGCCTGGGTCTTCCCGGCCCACATCAACCCTCACCTGCTGACGTGTCTTCCTAAAGGAGGCGCCCCACCAAGAGCTCATGGGGCTCTGGTGATTACTGCAGCCCACAGTGGCCCTGGAGCTGT